CCAGACAACACCCACCTGATCCGGTACAGACGGAGTCCTCAGGCCGTGCAGTCAGGCTAGGAGGCTCAGCGCGGCGCGTCTGGATGCCGTCATTGGGACCCCCGCCCCTCACCCTCAACTCCGCCCGCCCTGGCAAGCGCTGGCAAGAAACTAGCCGCGCGGCGCCGCGGAGTCGGCCCGCAGACGGGGCGGGGCCTTGTCGGGGGCGGGACCACCACGTCGGCCTTTTCTCAGCGCCTCCTAGTGTCTCAGCCGCCGGGTTCTCATCCTTTTGCGGACGCTAGCCAGTTTATGGGGATGCGGAGACTAAAGAGACCAGCCTAGTTCGTCTAAATCTCACAATGACAAGTGAGCAAATGAAAACTAATTAGGGACTTTTCCCGCTCTGCGAGGGGAGAGTTAATTCTCTAATACTAAGACTGAATACAATGAACTGGTTCATTCATTCTTCCTTGCGTTATAGAAGACCCCAACACCCCCACTGCTGCCCCTCTATTGTACTCCCTACACCCCCTCAAGCACAACTGAGTTCTCCCCAGGCATCTGGAAGTCTTCATCTCCTCTCTCATTCCCTGTTCTGGTCTGGTATCACTAGTGTAATGGTTACGAATCGGGCTGTGAACATTAAGGTCAGCTGTTCAAAACTACCAGCTGTTCCGCGGGAGAAAGATGAGGCTTTCTTCCGAAACCTTGTACAGGGTCACTATGAGTCGGAACCGACTCCACGGTACATCACCACCACCAGCCCTTTTAAGATTTTCTATGAGTCGGAAATCACTGAACAATATAATACCATCTGCAAGTAAAATTTTGCTTAAGATCATTTTTTAAAAAAATAGTTGTAGCATGTGACAGGGAGCTACCAGCAATTCAAGACGGATTCAGAAGGGAACGTGAAACAAGTGACGTCAGATGGACTTTGGCTGAAAGCAGAGACTACCAGAAAGATGCTTATTTGTGAAATTATATATACCATTGCAAAGAATGGGAATTCCTGAACAAGTTAATTGTGTTCATGCTCATGAGAAATCTGTACATAGACCGAGAAGCAGTATTTGGAAAGAACAAGGGTTCATTGAATGGTTTAAAACCAGGAAAAGTGTATGTCAGGGTTGTATCCTTTCAGCACTTCTTCAAATCTGTATGCTGAGCAAATAATCTGAGAATATGGATTACATGAAGACTAACATGGCATCAGGATTAGAGAAAGACTCATTAACAACCTGCAATATGCAAATGAGGAGCTCAAGTAGTGCAGTGGTTACGAATCGGGCTGCAAACTTCAGGGTCAGTAGTTCGAAACTACCAGCTGTTCCGTGGGAGAAAGATGAGGATTTTTGCTCCCATAAAGATTTACAGCCTCTGAAACCCTGGACAGAGTGGCTACAAGTTGGAACCGACTCCACTGCACATAACCACCACCACCACCACTAATACGCAAATGACATAGCCTTGCTTGCTGGAAACTAAGAGGACTTGAAATATTTAGTGATAAAGATCAAAGACTGCAGACTTCAGCATGGATTACACCTCATTGTGAAGAAAATTAAAATCCTCACAACTGAACCCATAAGAAACATGAACACAGAAAGGATTGAAGTTGTCAAAGACTTCATTTTGCTTGAATCCACCATCAATAATCATGGAAGCAGCAGACAAGAAAGCAAATGGCTTATTACATTAGTCACATCTCTTGCTTAAGACCTCTTTATAGTCTTAAAGAACAAAGACATCAGTTTGAGGACTCAGGTGCTCCTGACCCAAATCAAGTTTTCTCAGTCACCTCATATGCTGGACAATGAATAAGGAAGACCAAAGAAGAATCAATACATTTGGATTATGGTGTTGGAGAAGAATATTGAAAGTACCATGGACTGCCAGAAGAACAAACAAATCTTGGAAGTATTGTCAGAATGTTCCTTAGAAGCCAGGATAATGAGACTTCATCTCTCATTCTTCAGACATGTCAGAAGGGACCAGTCCCTGGAAAAGGATATCATACTTAGTAAAGTGGAGGGTCAGTGAAAAAGAGGAAGACCCTCAATGAAATGGATTGGCACAGTGGCAGCTGCAATGGGCTCAAACATAACAATTGTGAGGATGGCACAGGACCAATCAGTGTTTCGTTCTGTTGTGCCTCAGGGAGCTATGAGTCAGAACTGATTCAACAGCACCTAAAAACAACATGGATAGCAATCAACTCAGGTTTTAAGAAACCCCGGTGGCCTTGTAAAGTAAGCACTGTACTGCTAACCGCAAGGTCAGTAGGTCAAACCCACCAGTCACTTTGTAGAACAGAGATGAAGATTTACAGACTCAGAAACCCCGTATAGGGTCTCTCTAAGTTGGAATTGACTTGACGGCACTGAATTTTGGGTGGATAAGACACTGGAGGACACACCGGCTGTGAGATCATCCCATCTGTTTTATGTGTGTGGATGGGGCCCTGGCTGCACACCCTACACTCAGGAAGAGTCCCTCTTTTCTGTGTCCCTGTTTTCTGCCCTTTTCACCTAGGTTAGTCCTGATACAATGGCTTTTCAGGATGCCAGGAAGAGAATGGATGGCATCTGTCTTGGAGCACTTCACCCAAGAGCAGATCCTACAAGTCCTAGCCCCCTACCTCTGGCGTATAAGTCCCCAGTATGGAAGGAGCATGGGTTTCATTTGTGGGCTCTACTCCCCGCCGCCTTGAGCTTCTAAATGGACAACTGCCTCACCCATTGAGAAATGAGTTTGGTGTTAAGTTCTTAGCCAGCCTCTCCAGGTACGGAGGTTATTCTGTGGGCAAATGGGCAGTGGGAACCTCACAGAGGTGTTCATCCTGCTTCTACCTGGGTAGGTGCTGCCCTGGGGACTACTCCCAAACAACTCCTCTTCCAGTGTGCCCCCACTATCTACCCAACTCCTTAAGCCATCCTTGACTCTTTCATAATCTCTTTTATTAGCTCGGGCTGTGAACCTTAAGGTCAGCAGGTCAAAACTACCAGCTGTTCCGCAGGAGAAAGATGAGGCTTTCTGCTCCCATAAAGATTTACAGCCTCGGAAACCCTGTACAGGGTCGCTATGGGTCAGAACCGACTCCACGGCACATAACAACAACAAGAAGCACTGATTAACCCCCTTCTTAGTAGTTTTCAGTCCAGGCAAATCTCTTTGTGCTCCACAACCTAGCCACCCCAAGCCAATGTCTTCCCTTCACTTAGGCCCCTACAGAACCTCTGGTTTTCCTCTTCTGCCCTTGTGTGTGCCCTTTCATCTCTTGTTTTCTGAAAATAGCCCTTAGAATTCCTTAGCAATCCAAGCTTTTTATTTTTTTTTTAAATCCTAATACAGCCAGGCAACACTTAAACTTGTGCAAATGAGGTGGGAGCCCAGGGACCACGTTGGAAAAATTAACTTCAGGGTAAAAGGGAGGAGCTTGATGGAAATCAGGCATGCATATTCAGTGATTCAACCAATCACTGACAGTGTTAAGGACCCAGTCATGCAAGTTCATTTGATGTTGTTGCTAGGTAGAGTTGAGCAGATTTCCATTCATAGCAACCCCATCAGGACCCAATAGACGTGGCAGCATAGGGTTTTCTAAGCTGTAATCTTTACAGAAGCAGATTGCTAGGTCTTATTCCACTGGAGATGCTGCATGGCTGCAAGTCTTTCCAACAGCAGCCCCGGGAACTATTGTGAAGAACGCCAGACTTTGGAGCTTCATTTGGAGCTTCCAGAAGGATGATGCACATGGGTGGACCAGTGCTTCTCCCGGGACATGAAGTTTTCTGCTGAAAATTCTTCCCAGATCTTACCTGTGCCTCTCTTTGATCTTGATCTCCTTTTCTAGAAGTCAAGTCCCCAAAGTGAACACCAGCCAACCTTGTTCTCAGTTCACAGTTCTGTCTCCTCCCATCTCTGTTTTCCACTGCTGCTGCTGATCTCCCCACCCCCAGCCCCCCAAACTGGAAATGTCCTTCTGCCCAAATTTTAAAAAAAGGTCTCCTGTTGTCTCACGTTTGAACGTGTCTGAAATGGAATTGAACTTTAACAGTTCAAGTTAAGGGAAACTTGACCCCTGCTGAGGCTGGGGAAGTGCGATGGGGCTGTCCCCACAGCCTTAAGGAGATGGAATCCTTGTCCTGTGTGACCACTGGAGGCTTGTGAGCACTGGGAACACCATGCATGGTTGGATTTTAATTAAAATCGGAAAGCGTATTTGTCACTTAAAATGTCATTAGAAAAACTGAACTCTAATGCAGTCATGAAATTTAATTTATTATGTATACAGAAGATTGCCTATCCTGGAAAAGCAATATAAAGAAAGGCCATAGCAATTGCTCTATCTCTCGGGCTAGATCTGTGTTAGGAAACCCTTAGCTTCAAATAACAGAAATCACAACTTGAAGTGATTTGAACAATAAGGCCATTTGTTATCTTACTAATAGGGAGACCAGAGAGATTGAGGGCTGTGGAGTAGGCCAAGTCAGTGGCAACATTACCAAGGAGCCTGGCTTTTCCATCTCTCCCCTCTGCTATCCTTAAGTGTTTTCAGAGTTGCCAACTTCAAACTCAAACATCCGGAGGAGGAAGACAGTGTTGTGCCATGTGGCATGCTCTTTGGATCAAGGAAACTCTTCCTGGGAACCCTACCAGTGTTTTCCCCTCATATGTCGTGTACCACACAGCTCAGACCTGTTCATCTTTGAAGGAATCTTGGCAAAGTGATGGAGTAACTCTGATGGGGTAATGTAAAGTCTAATAATAGGGCGAACTGGGTGAAGGACACATGGGAGCTTTCTGTACTATCTGGTCTGTAAATCTAAAGTTATTTTTTTAAAAAGTTGGGTTGGGTACTTTAGAAGGAACCCTTTTTGTCCTATCCCTTTAGCTCCCGCATGCACTAATTTGTTATGAGAATTGCTGGAAGTTTTAGCTAAAGCACTACTTTGAACACAGCTGATTCAGAGTTAGTGCTCATTCAACATTCAGATCAAACCTGGGTGAGGCGAATGGTTAAATGCTTGACTAACGACACCAACAACTAGCTAAAGGTTGACAGTTTGAACTCACCCAGATTAAAAGAAGAAAAAGCCTGGCCAAGAGATTACAGCCAAGAGAGCCCTATGGAGCAATTCTACTCTGTAACACAAGGGGTCACCTAGATTCAAACTAGAGTAGCAATTAATAACAACAACAAAAACACTTAGGGTGGCGTTAAAATTATGGGAGCACATTTCTACAGCTGCAGATAAAAATAACAATACAAATAGAGTTTGTTTTAGAAGGCTTCTTAGCATTATTTATCTGTTTTCTAAAGGCTTTGTAAAGTCTTTCACTAAGCATGTCAGGGTTACAAGTTACAAATGTATCCAACACATGTACATAAAGATACTTAGTTTAATAAGGGCATTCGTTGTAGCACTGTTTGCAGGAGCATAAAATTGGAAACAAGCTAAAAGTCCATCACTAGTGAACTGGCTAACTAGTTTTGTCATAGTCATATGAATAAGTACAATGGCAACTAACAACAATGTGGCCCTTAAAAAGAGCAAGGATTTATATGAACTGATACAAAAAGATTTCTAAGAAGTATTCAGTGAAAAAGAAAAACAGGTGAATATCATATCTACAGCTTGTGTAAACAAAGACTTAAGTGCTCATACATGCATAGCCTATATCTGGAAGGATACACAAGGAACTGATTCTATGGTAGTTTCTTTGGGGAAGGGAGTTTTAAAACTGTATCTCTGTGTTTCCTAGATTTGGTTAAGTATGAACATGTGGGTGAAATGGGAGCATGGTGATTCAGTGGTAGAATTCTCACCTTCATGTGGAAGACCTGGAGTTGATTTCTAGCCAATCAATTCACCTCTCATGTGCACCCACCAATCCCAGTCATTTGTTAGTAAGTGTTGCTATGATGTTGAACACGTTTCAGTGGAGCTTCTAGACTAATAAAGGCTAGAAACAAAGGCTTACTAACCTACTGAAATTTAGTCAATGGAAACCCTATGGATCACAGCAGTCCAATCTCACTATGCATGGGATCACGTCTCAAGGGGGCCTCTTGAGACAACTCACATGTTTTAAAGCAGGATTTGGAATGGATTGTGGCTAGAGTGGATATATGTCTATGTAGTATAGACTGACTGAAGATGGAGAGGACACCACTGCCATGGTAATGGTGGCATCTGAGGGTGCTAGTGGTCTAAAGACAGATGGAAGGGCGAGGATGCAGGTGGAAGGCAGTGAGACTGAGAATGGAAACACAGCTGTGAGCAAGGAGGTGGCTCTGGGACTCTGCCTGAGAAGGATACTCAGAATCCGACACTAATACGAGTATTTTAAATAAACATACAAGACCTCTTGCATTTGACTGGTGTTTCCTTCAGAGTAGTCTGCTGAGAGTCTAACTACTTATTCCTCTGACTTCATGCTGAAAATGTGTCAAGAATTCCTGTTTGAACCCTCATCCTATTGATGGCAAATATTAGTCCGCATTAAGTGGATCTGAACTTTGGAAACAGATGTCATTTAGTTACAAGTTTGGTTAAAGTAACAACTGAAGTAAAGTACTCTTTTAGTAAAAATCGAGCCTTAGAATCAGGAAGCTGCTGTTCTGGTGCCCCTAAAATTTGGCTTGAAATGTAAGCCCAAAAAGGATACTAAAAAAAATTGGAGTGTTAATGTTGGCATCAAAGGAATGAGGCTTGGAATTCCAAAGGGCCTACTTTGAACAAGTCAGTGCCCACTGAGACGTGAAGGCTCTATTCATTTGTTAGAAAAATGGCCCTGGCCCTGGATGCTGGTCACGCTGGGTCCTCCGCTGAGGCAGCACAGGGGTTGGCACCGCGGCCTCAGCTCTTCTTGCGCAGCTGGTTGTACTGCGCACGGCTCAGGATGGGCTCCATGACGCTGGGCCGGAAGAAACTATCACTGACCCTGCGTAAGGGCTTCTCGCGCGGCACAGCCGGGAAGGCCGGGCGGGACCCGGGAGACGTGGCGAGCTTGTCATCCAGACCCGGGCAGGCGGGCGCGCTCAGGCCCCGCGCGTTGCGCAACATTCCACGGGGCTGAGCCGGGCGTGAAGACGACTCTGGGCTGGTGGCTGGGGCCGCGGAGCCTCGGCGCTCGGCCTCAGATGGTGGATTGTCGATATCTCGGAATTCGCTCTCCGGTTCCATCAGTGACAACCTAGGGAGCTGAGGATCGGGCTGCCTAAGACCTTAGAACCTCCTAGACTACCTTTCCTAGGCTTCCCACCAGCCACTCCCCTAGGTTCCTCCTTGCCGTCCCATCCAGGGTTGACCCACTGGACGGTCCATCATAAGTTGGGGTGCGGGGTCCACAGGCAAGGTAAGCCAAACCCCTCCCAAAGTGTCCAGATCTCTCAGGTCTCCTTTAGAGGGGACCTCAATGGGGAACAGTGGCTCTATCTGACCGGCAAACACTGCACTGCAAACTGCAAGGTCAGAGGTTCACATCCAACAAGCTGGTTCTCAGAATCCCTATACAAGGTCTGTATGAATCAGAACTGACTGGATAGCACTTAATAACAAACACCATTGGTTTTCCTGGTATGGATAAGCACTGGGTTATCAACTGCAGCATTGGCGGTTCAAGCCCATCAGCTGCTTCTTAGAAACCCTAACAGGGTCACTATGAGATGAAAGCAACTTGAAGGCACTTAACAACAACATGAGTCCTGGTGTGGCACTATAGGATAAGCACTGGACTGCTAACTGCAAGGTCATCAGTTCATATCCACCAGCCACTCCGTGGAATCCCTATACAGAATCGCTATGAGTCAGAACCTACTGGACCACACTTAAGGACAACCACCACCTGGGGCTCCTGCCCTGCCCCATTCTGGAAGAGTCTACGTGACCTGTGGCTTACTCTGGAAAAGGTTCCAAGATCTCCCTAAGACTGGCATTGGCATACCTTGGGCTTTGGCATTAGGGATAGTACTGGGCTGGGGCAGCGGCTGTCCCCTGGCTGTATGGCCCACCCCCTCAGAGCCCTCTAAAGCCCTCCCTCAGGGAGCAGCATGCAAGCCTGACTGGTCCTTCAGTTGGGACTAACAGGTGGGGGAGGGGAGAGAGACCCCCTGGGACATGTCATGGAGTGGGGAGGGACCTTCCGTACAGTCTAAGTCGTAGCATGTCAGAGTCTTTCTGGGGCACGGAGGATTGTAGAAGTCTCCAAGGAGGGACCCCATCCAGGCCCAAGAGAAGAGGGAGGCTAGACTCACCGGCACGTAGTGCACCACTGTATCCACCACGTTGTCAGTAACACCTTTCAGAGCATCCGACAGGGTTGCCCTCCTCTTGTTGATTGAGGAGACATCGGGGGTGGTTGTGAGATGCAACAGCCTTCCTGCCATGCCCATCACAGCGGCAGGCGCCCATGTCACAGCTGAGATGGTGCCCTGGAGGGCCATCTGCACAGTGTGTGCCACACTGCCCAAGAGGCCTTTGGGGCTGGGTAGGAATGTCGCCTGGGGATCAGAGCAGGGTCAGCGCCTCCTGCGGTAACTCCCAGGCCTTCTGACCCCACTAGCCTCCCCAGAGCTAGAGGGGTAAGGACAGGGACCTCAAATTGAAGGAAAACCAGATGAATCCCTGTAGGCCTGACTCTTGTCAACTTACTTGTCCTCTCTGAACCTCAGTTTATTTGGCTGCAAAATGGGGACCATCGCTTCTGCCCTGCCTGTCTTACTGGGCTGGTGAGAGGGTCAGTTGGGAGAATGGCATGGAGGTGCTTTTGTAGCTCGATGTTTGGGATGGGGTAAAGCATGCCACGCCCATGCACAATGTCCCTGGGTTAGAGATTCCAGTTGCACCCTGTGCCTCTGCTCACCACCCACCTTCTGCCCCCATGGGTTGTGAACCAATAGATTCTTGCTGTCTTTCTCACCTCACTGAACTCTTCCATCTCCTCCTCGTCCTCATCCTCGTCTTCCTCCTCCTCTTCCTCTGTTTCCTCCCCTTCTGTGTCCGTCTGGTCATCATGGTCCTCCTCCTGGTTGGCAGCGAGTTTGTGCAGCCAGGGTACCCGCACCTCACTCTGCCGCCGGGACATCACCTGAATGGCCACTGATGTGCTCCACTGGGCCAGGCTGCTCTGAGGGCGGGAAGGAAGGACCATTGGCTTCAGAGCCCCTGCGGACGGCAGGCAACCCCAACAGCCAAAGCTTTCAGCCCCAGGGCCTGGCCCCAACGGACTTTTTAAAAACTTTTTACTTAGTGATAACTCATTGTTGCTGCTGTTAAGTGTTGTCAAGTCAATTCTGACCCATAGTGAACCTGTACAGGGTTTCCGAGGAGCGGCTGCTGGGTTTGAACTGCCGACCTTGTGGTTCGCAGTCCAGTGCTGACTCTACAGCACCACACAGCAAACTGCACACACCCTCAGTGTACAGTTCCCTGACTTTTGACAGATACAAGGGGCTTCAAGAAGTTTGTGGGAACTGGAATTCAACGATAATGGGATTTTTCCAGAAACTTTTTGAAGTCCCACCTTGAAACCACCACCCAGAGTAAGATACAAGCAATTCCAACACTGGGCCGGAAGTAGTCAGTGGCTGTGGATTTCTGAACCTCAGATACATAGATGGGTCTAAGTGTTTTTCATGAATAGCTTCTTTTGTTCAGCACTATGTTGTGAGATCCATCCATGTGTGGTTTATAGGAGTTCCTTCTCTTTCATTTCTGGATTAACATTCCAGGGTGTGATAAGGATACAATGTATCCATTTTCTGTTATTGGACATCTGCATTGTATCTCTGTCTTCACTAAGGATAAAGCTGACAGGAGCATTTTCCTTCTTGTCTATAGGGGAACGTTGTTGTTGTCAGGTGCCATTGAGTCGGAACTGACTCATAGCGACCCCATGCACAGCAGAACGAAACAATGTCTAATCCTGGGCCAACCTCACTACTGCTACTACTACACTTGACGCCATCAATGATGCCACCTGGCTGATCCATCTCGTTGGGGGTCTTCCTCTCTTTCTCTGAACCTCCATCTTACCCAGCATGACATCCTTATCTAGTGACTGTTCCCTCCTGACAATATGTCCAAAGTATGAGAGATGAAGTTTAGCCATCTTGGCCTCCATAGGGGAACATAAGTGCTTATTACTGTTGGATTTACATCTAGGAGTGGAATTTCTGGGTCACAGTATATATGTTAGTTTAGCTTTAATAGATACTCCTTGCAGATCTTTAAAGGGTGAAAAAAAATCAAGTGTCCCTGTGGGAGGAAATTGACCTGAGCAAGTGAGCTGGTATTCCTGGAGACACAGCTTGCCTCATTCAACACCTCTAGGTACCCCTACATATAGGGTCTACATATACTATAACCCTGCTGTTTCTGCCGCTGTGTGCTGCTGAGTCGGTTCCAACTCCTAGCGCCCCTGAGGCTGTAAATATTTACAAGAGCAGAAAGCCTCATCTTCCTCCCTCACTACGGGCACCTAAAGTTGTCAATGGTGGCCCGAGGTTGTGCCACACAGCGGACTCTATGCACAATGGGATGAAGCAGTCTTGACCCTTCTTTGTAAATAATCCTCAGTGTTCACCAAAAATAAAGAAGCCACAGTCCCTGGCACATAGTACGTTCTCAAGCTCTTCTTGAATGATGGACTCAGGTCTAATGATGCTTTTAAAAGTCCATCATCCCCCCAAAAAAATGATGGCTGAAAAGTGAACTTTTATGTTTTCTTTATTTCCTTTTCTTGGACTTGGCTTCATGTGAACGTGCCTTATGAAAAACTCCCACCTCTCTCTGCTAAAGTACTAAGAGAGGTAGAACAAGCCATGGGGATTTATCCCTTGCTGACCCTAGAAACGGCAGCTTTACCTTGGGAGCAGTGGGAATGGGATTTAAAAGGCGCTGTGGGTTAAGCATTGAGCTGTTGACTGAAAGGTCACAGTTCAAACCCACCAAGCACTCTGAGGAGAAAGATGCGGCTGTCTGCTCCTGTAGACTCAGTCTCGGAAGCCCTACACAAGGTCACTGTAAGTTGGAATGGACTTGCTGGCAGTGGGTTGAGTTTGGTAAGGGAAACCATAAAGCTGGGGACAGTAAGGGATACAGGACCTAGTGGGGCTCTCTCCCTGACAGGACAGGTTCTGCACTTTGTTTACTTAAGACACTTCTTAGTGTCTGTGGGAGTGACGGTGGATGAGTCTCTTCTTCCACGTGGTGGGGGACCACAGCAGGAGGCCCACTTGGGGCGAGGCTCTCAGAAAGAGAATGGATGCAACATTCTAGCAAGGTAAGCCTTCCCTAAGTTCTCACCTTGTCCTTTCTCTTCCCCTTTGCCCTGGGGGACAAGCCCGCCACCAGCTATTAAGGCCTCTTGTGCACAGACCTATAGTCCTAGCCCAAGTTGGCAGAGAGAATGACCCCCGGGCCAGAGAGGGCACTGACCCAGGGATGGTGGGGAACAGGAGGCAGAAGCTGCCCACAGAACAGCCAGTCTGGGGGTCAGTCAGGGCTCAGGGTCAGTACTCACCAGAGGTGCCACACCTGGGATCCACATGGCCGCCGCATGACCCTGCTTTAGTGCCCAGGCTGTGGTCTGGAAGGTGTGCCGCGAGAGAGTGTTGGCCAGGGCCCCCACCCTGCTCATGAGGCTTGGCTTGCCCTTGGCAGGCTTCTTCTGGGCCCGCTGGTGTCCAGGACCAAGGGCTTGGAAGGGGTTTGGGGGGAAGAAGGGAAACAGATCAAAGAGGGGTTGGGGAAATCTGGGTTGTATCTAGGGCTCACCACAAACTCACTAAGGATTGTTAACTCATTTTCACCACTTATAGATGTTGTTGTTGTTATGTGCTGTGGCGTCGGTTCGAACTCATAGTGACCCTGTACAGGGTTTCCGAGGTTATAAATCTTTAAGGGAGCCAAAAGCCTCATCTTTCTCCTGCAGAACAGCTGGTAGTTTTGAACTGCTGACGATGAGATTAGCAGCCCGATTCGTAACCACTATGCCACCAGGGGGAGGGAAAGATATGCTTATGGATCCATTGGAAAATCCCACTGGGTCTTCCCTATTCTGAAGCCTAGAACTGTGGCTGGGTGAGCCCTTGCTGCCTCCTGTGATTCCCAGGCAATTTGGTAGCCAGCTGGCTTCCTCGGGATCAGTCTCCCTGCCCTGCCCCATGATAGTAAGTACCTGCCTCTTCCTTGGCAGGAGGAAGGAGAAACTCTACCATCTTTTCAACGCCACCCAGGGCCAGGTCTGCCCCTCCAGAGGCCAGCCGGCCAGCTCGTGTGTTGGCAGCAAATTCGGCAGTGTCTTTGGCCACGCCCCAGGCAAGTTCGCAGCTGGTCAGAGCCGCCCCCAAGACCTTGTCCGAAGTGCTTGCGATGGGTATGCTGATGCTGTTCCTGGCACTGCGAAGGCGTGTGGAGATGGTGTCCCTCAGCTCGGAGGCAATCTGGAGGGGAGGGTCAGGCACATGAGTCTGATAGGCCCTGGGAGGACTGACCCTCAGGGTCTTGGGCCCTGAGCCCAGATTCCAGAAAGGCCTCATTTATCCTGTGAGGACAGCACCAAAGGCCACCTTCTTGATGATCCTGTCTTGACACCCTTGAGTTTTATTGTGTGTCCCCTCCTATCCTTCCTTCAAAACACAGATTGCATGTCCACCGCATTTGTATTGGTTTATGCATTAGCATCCTGGTAACAAAGTGGTTAAGCACTAGACTGCTAACCAAAAGGCTGGCTGTATGAACCCAACCCAATAGCTGCTCTATGGCAGAACAATGTGCAGTAACGATTGCAGCCTTGGAAAGCTATGTTGTTGTTGGTAAGTGTTCTGATTCACAGAGATACTGCATAGGCTTTCCACACCTTTGCAGGGGCGGTACCATCTCATCTTCCTCAGAATGACTGCTGGGCTCAAACCGACAACCTTGTTGTTCTCAGTCCAGTGCTTATCCTACTGTGCCCGTGCTCCTGGAAACCCCATGGGGTAGTTCTCCTCTGTCCTACAGGATCACTGTGAGTAGGAATTGACTCAGTGGCAGTGGTTGCTTTGTTGTTTTGTTTTGGGTATGGATGAAATTTACCTTCCTCTAAGTTCTGCGTTAAAATAATGTACTGTCGTTCTCTCTGGTTATTCTGGGAGCGCCTTATATGACAGACATTGCTCTTCATTTGGAAAAATGGGGAGTGAAGAGCACAGGCCTCAGAGCCAAACAGACTGACCCTCCTGTGGTCTCTACTTAAGGCATATGCATAGCCAGTCACGAGTTTTCTCATCTGGAAAATGGGGACAGTACTGTCCCGAAAGTTGATGTTGTTAAGTGGTGTTGGCCCCCAACTCATAGAGACCCTATATAGGTTTCCGAGGAGGGGATGGTGGGTTTGAATTGCCAACCTTGCAGTTAGAAGTTCAGTGCTTATCCTACAGCACCACCAGGACAGAGAAGAGGATAAAATGAGAGGTGCCACAAATCACATGTGATGGCAAGTGCCCAGGGCAGGGCTCAATCCATGCTTGGGGGACAGGGACTGAAGATTATCCCCCCAACACCTCTAGCATGGGCCGTTTCCATGGCTGCTGATGCTCCCAAGTATCATTGAGTCAGTTTCGACCCATAGTGACCCTGTATAAGGTTTTGGAGGAACAGCTGGTGGGTTTGAACTGCTGACCTTGTGGTTTGAAGTCCAGTGCTGATCCTACAGCACCACATCAGGAGTCTGTATCCATGTAACTACCCAATAAATATGTATCCAGCTGAAGTGACATTCCAAGTCTCTTGGCCCACAAAGGGTTGGATTTAGGGACATGGGGCTGCATTCCTGGAGTCACCCAGTGGCCCAATGAAAGTCCACAGAGCCCAGACCTCAGGAACAGGTATCAGGAGGCAATGGGACCACCCCACGCTCCTGTTTGTGTTGGCCTCTGATCCCAGAAATTCTGCCTTCATTTGATTCCATAGTGGGAGAGAAGACTGTCCTGCGACCTTGGGGCTGGCAGCCTTCTCCAATCTAAGAGGGCATTTGCCAGAGAAACGACAAGACTTGGGGTCATGACATCAGCAGCTCCCACTCTCTTCCCTCCCCCCACCCCACGAGCTGGGCTGAAGAGGGGGCGATGACAACAGAGGGTGGGGAAGAGAGAGAAGAAAGATGGGCTTACCTTTTCGGGAGGGTACTGGAGCGCTGGGATCTTTTCCTCCAGGTGGTCCAGGCCTCGGCAGGCCAGCTCATTGGCAGCTGTAACTGAAAGTGAAGGACCACATTGGGGCAATCCCTGCACCCCACCGAGACCCTCACAGTTGTCTCTGAGCCAAGGAAGGGGCATTGCAAGCGGCAAATCCCCCAACCCTGCTGCCTCCACACATCTTTGGACTTGAGGCCCTTTGCCACTTTTATTGTCCATGCACCGTGATTCCCTGAGACCCAGGCTGTTTTTTTCCATCTCTGTAGGTACTCGGGAGTCTGTCACACCTGTACCCAAATCACAATGTGTGGCTTCCAATAAGTCACGGCCTGTCTGAGCCTCAGGCTTGTCGGCTGTAACATGGACAACAGTAAAAACCCTCAGGCCAGTTGTGAAGAGTAAGTGATGGAAATGTGTGAGTCACCGGCAAATACTGGGTTCTCCCTCATTCTTTTTCTTCCCCTCAGATCCTAGGGTTCCAAGTAAGCGCTGGGGAGAAGGAGAATGGAGATAGGAGTGTGGGAGGTGGAGGCTGTGGGGCCCTAGGGTTGGGCTTATTGGGGTCAGGCCTGGGCCTTAGGTCTAAAAGTGACAAACTCTCAGTCACAGTCTATCTAGGCCCCAGACTGTCCATGGCCTTTTATTGAGAGCATAGGGCTTGGAGAAGGTCACAGAGAAGAGAACAGATTTGCATTTCCCTTAGGGCGAGCACCAAATGGTTCAAGAGCTGCTGAGGACATACAGGAGGGCTTCAAAAAGTTTGTGGGAAAATTCCATTATCTTTTCATTTCATTTTTCCTTGGACTTTTTGAAGCCCTCTTGTATATGTTCTTTCATGTATTCTTTCCCCAGATATTTTACTTTTTCCAAATGAAATTTTTTGAGCAGTAGAGTTTGCAAATGATTTGACCATCTTCTCATTGGGTAAAATGCGACTGGGAAGTTAAGGAGCTTGCAGGTAGGGAGATTGGCCCAGGACTGCGTCTTCTATACATCCATCTTTTCCTGCTTGCTGAACAGAATCCTCAAATACCCACAATTCTCTAATTCAGATGGGAGCAGATCCTGGATTTCTTAGATTTGCCAGAATTTCCCTCAGCTCTGTCAAAAGCCTTGGATACCATATTTTCAAATGGGGCAGAAGGACTAGAAGGCAAGGCTGGGGCTGGGGAGTCAGAGGTGGGAGGGTGGAGGCTGGTCTAGTGAGGCCTGCAGGCACACACAGGTGCCCTCTGCCTCCAGGCCATGCTCAGAGCTCTCTGCTGCCCTCGCCTGTCACAAGCTGATACCATCAGCAGCTAGACCCAGAGGACTTCTCTCCCTCCTCCAAGCCCTGCCTGGCTAGCCCTACCACTGCTCTTCCTGCCTTTGTACAAGACTCTGCAGTTCCTTCTGCTGCGGCTGTTGATGCATTCAGCTTAGACAGGTTTGGGCCTGGAGAGTCCCACGGGGACCCATCTGTGCTCATCCCTTCCCGCTGCCAAATCTTTGATCCATCGCTGCTATCCTCGGAATATGCCAGCTGTAGTGCAATGCCTTGGAAGACCATGGAATGGGACACAGACAAGTACTTAAGTAGGCAGGCAGGTGGCCATAAAGGTAAGCAGACAAGCAGGTTATCAGGTGATCAGATAGATTGGCAGGCAGGCAGCTGACCAGGTACCATGAGGACTCACACTGGGTGGACAGCCGGCGGACCACAGGCTCCATGCTCCAGGCAGCCAAGTTGCTGGCGCTCTGCACGCCCTTCTCATAGGCATTGCATACAGAGGCCACCAGGGGGTGGGCTTCCTTGGTGCTGGCGTAGGTCTTCTGGAAAGACTCACAGGTGCCGCTCACCACTGGCAGCTGCAGGACTCTCTGAAGCACATTCTCCTGCTCCTAACATGGAAGAAAGGGAGAGAGGGAGGCATTCAAGTCATCCCACCTCCCTCTCCCCTCTCAGGAGAGCAGCCACAAGGCCATGGAGTCCCTAGCATGGGCCTGTATCCATGGTGAGGCCAGGCTAAGTTCAGTGACCTGGGAGGAACTGAGACCAGAGACATCTCTGGATACCCCAGACATGGTCAGAGGTACCCCAAAGGGAAAGTAAGAACCAGTCTGCCATGTTCCCCGGGTCGCCATCCAGGCTGTACAGAAAGAACTGCAGAAGCAATCTGTCTTCCAGGGGCCAAGCCTCCCAGCCCACCCCAAATGCTCCAGTCTACCCACTTAAACTTAGTGGTAGAGAGCAAGTGTTGGTAGCAAACCTGTCCCGAGGTTTAGACTGGTGATTTAGATCATTCATCTAAACATTTTTCTGGTCTTTCTGGGATACTGCCTCCCACACTATGTACACAGTCCTGCTGCCTAGAATGTTCACCTTCTATCCCATAGTCCTTCCTGTCTGGTGAAATGTCATTCCCTTAGCACACAGCTGGGCCACTGCTTCCTGCATGGAGCCTTCCTGACTCTCCTCCCTCACAGCCACCACTGCTTTTGCTGGGCTCTCTCTATAGCTGTGACATTCTGCTGTCATTCCATGGATACTTGTCTGACATTTCCAATGTGAGAAATGTCACAACTGGTGTCCTTAAGGCACACACCAAGTCTTTGTTGTCTCTGTATTCCCAGTGCCTAGCACAGTAATGGAGTCCTGGTGCGGCTCTGTGGGTTGATGCGCCAGACTGCAAAGCTGTTTGAATTGCGAGGTTGGTGGTTCAAGCTCACCAGCTGCTCCTTGGACACCCTATACCGGGTCACTATGGGTCGGAACCGACTTGATGGCACTTAACAACAAGCACAGTAATGCTAATCAACTAAATGATCCGCAGCCAAGAGTAGTAGAATGTATATATTTAGATCTGCCCAACTCTACCAAATTACAAAATCTTAGGCCTTCAGGCGATTCTGGAACAAGAATGCTTTCCACAGTGTCTCTAGCAGACTTCTATTTGAATGCCTCCTTTGATGAGAGTTCACCCTTTATTGAGTGGCCTGTATCCTTGTTGGACAACTCTACTGAGCTGAAATCTGCCTCCACCCACCCCTCCACCCTCTGTCCTTTAAACAACCCCGAGCAGATCTAGTTCATCAGTCTTGAGTAAGCACTTCACAGATTTGAAGGCATATAGAGTCCTGGTGTGGCGCTGTGGGTTAATGCGCCAGACTGCAAAGCCATTTGAACTGCAAGGTCAGTGGTTCAAGCTCACCAGCTGCTCCTTGGAAAATCTATACAGGGTCGCTATGGGTCAGAATTGTCTCAACGGCACTTGACAACAACAAGGTCTCCCTTTGGAGGTCCCTGCTCTTAACTTAGGTTATAAACCATCCTGGTTTGGTGACCCCTGTTCTGGATGCACTGCGGTCTGGTATTGTCTTTCTTAAAACCTAGCACTCAAACTTGAAGACAGTGCTCTAGGTGGGGTCTAAGCGTGTGGTCTTAATAGAACTATCACTGTTCATTATTAGCATGTTGTGTTCTTGTTGTTGTTAAGTGCCATTGAGTCGGTTCCGATCCATAGCGACCCTGTAAAGGGTTTCCAAGAAGCAGCTGACCTTGCGTTTCGAACTGACTTTGCAGTCCAGCACATTAACCCACAGCACCACACCAGGACTCTGTGTTCTTATTAGTTAGTGCATGTGGATTTTGGCAGCAGTAACGTAATCAAACTTTGGCCATCTAGGAATCTTAGTGAAAAGAGCACTGGCCTTTGAGTAAGAGAAAGTGGATTCTAGCCATGAAGAGGGGCGCAACACTTCCTAGGTGTTGTGTTCCAGGGTACCCTGGAGATATTCTTCATTTAGTTTTCACAGCATACCTCTGAGGTCAGCACTATCACTACCAATTGGCTGATGAAGAGCTAGATTCAGAGATGCTCAGTGACTTACCTAAGATGACATGAAGCTATTAAGTGGCTTACAGAGCCAGGCTTCCAACTCAGGTGAAATGGCATGACATCTGGGATTTGCTCCAAGATAATCCAAGGCAGGGTGTAGATGGGGTGAGGCTGAGGCAGGACTGGCCACAGGTTAGTGGGTGATTAGGGCAAGTGAAGGGGTGTGGGGATTCATTAGATTCTGTCTACTCTTACGAATGTTAAGAATTCTCCACGCAAAAAGTTAAAAGAGAAAGCTCCTCCGCCCTGACAGAAGTTCGAGCTCTCTCTGTGGCTTTGATTATGGCATTGTGTAGAGGTACGGACTGTATGACTTTTAGGAAGCTGAGTCAGAAAACCCCTCAAGGAGACCCATATACATGCTAGACAAAGCCAACTTTTAATCCTGTCGGCCGATTTAAAATCTGAATGAGAAAAAGATTCTGAGTGTAAACCAGAAACCATTTTGGACAAGAGTTTTCAGAAGTTGTTTAGGCAAAGCCAAAGGGAGAAAAAGGTCCTGTAAAAGAAACAGCCTGACCTCTGTTAGGGTGGCTTCACTGTGCAGCTGACCTGTCTATTTCTGTCTTCTAGAAGCCCTAGTGGCATAGTGGACTAAGCACTGGGCTGCTAACCGACAGGTTGCCAGTTCAAATCCACCAGATATTCTATGGAAAAAAAGATGGGGCTGTCTGCTTCCATAAGGATCTGCAGGCTCAGAAACTCTATAGAGGCAGTTCTACTCTATCCTATAGGGTCTGTATACATTAGAACGGACCCAACGTCAGTAGGTGTGTCCTATGATTTAATCCCAAAGCTGACACAACATTTTCTAGTTAAAGATTAGTTAAGGCCTAGCTTGGGACAACAGGGTATTATATGAGTTCAAAAATTGTTAAGTTTCACTAACTAAACTTTGCCCAAAACAGCGAGGCCTTGCCAAGATACATTAGGTTCACCTAAAAGTGTCAAAACCCATTCATGCCACTGTGACAATTTGATCAGAGACACAATATTGAACACACTGACCCACAGTCCATCCCCATGCATAGCAGCCTGGCTGTGCATCCTGTAGCTCCAGGAAGGGCCATTGCTAGAGACCACAGTTTGGATGATGCCCCCTGGGATACAATGAGGTTCTGAATTAATCTAACCAGTTACATATTCCGCCGGGATTGCTGGACAGAGCCCAGGCTTTTTAGAACTTTCCTTTCTTCCCATTCCCCCACTGCTGGAATTTCTGCCCTTTTTTTCCAAGGTGCTTAGTTTTTAATAGACATTATTTGTTTTTTACATCCTCCAATACCATCCCTACCAAAGGTCCTGAGATCAAGAAAACTAAGACAAGACATGAAACTCATGAGCTAAAGAATACAAGAGACCTTCAAAACACTCATGGAACAGAATGAAAAGACAATGGATTTTTTGAAGGCCCTTCATATAATCTAGATGGACCTCACACCCTGACCCTTGCTTACCTGTCTGTGCCTTCCTTCTCCCTCAGTTGCCCAAGTTACTTACAGGGACGTCTTCATCCAGCATGGTTGAACACTTGTTGGCTGCCAGACCGGCTCTTCAAGCTGCAAAGCAGAAGGTCCTAAATCCATCAGAAAGCCCAGACTTGAGATCCACAGGGAAGTTTCCTACCTCTCCCGGCCACCAACTGGGCCCAGGCTGCCTGGGATCTCAGTTTCCCTGAACAGAAGACATAAATTGGAGAGTGAATGTCACAGACAAGAGGTCACTTCTTAAGTCCCATAGGGATGCGTTGCTCCACAGTCCACTTATCAAAACAGATGCTTCTTGCAAGGGCTCAGGGTGAAAATGATAAGCAGTAAGAGAGAGAAGCAACTTGAGATGAAGTCTAAAGACTCTGAAGTCAAGATTCAAAAGTGATGAAACGAACAAATTTCAGGTTTACCAGTTTTGCTGTTGTTTTAGTGGAAACGCTCTGGTTTAGTTCATCTACTTCCAAGCAGTCAGACCTGCCAGGCCTGCCCGCTAAGCCCAATCAGGTGAGAAAGTCGTTGTCTGTCTTCAAGTCTTGTTGCACCCCCTATGGGGCAGAGGAGAACTGCCCCCTAGAGTTTTGTAGGCTTTCTGGGAGTCTATCACCAGCCTTTTCTCCCGCCGAGTGGAAGGAGGGTTCCAACCGCCAGCCGCTTAGTCAGCAGCTGAATGCTTAACCATTGGGACACCAGGGCTCCTCTCTTAATGGCAACCATTTCACCTGTATCCTGGAAAAGGTTAATGGCCCCAGAATGTTTACTCCACACCCCAGCCATTCACCTTGAACATTCTCCCCCTCAGTGGTTTCCTGCAGACTTCTCCGTCCCTAATACAACTTCTCAGGTGACCCTTACTAGATTCTTACCCTCAGCTTCTTCCCTTGAAAGACAACCCAGGTAAGGAGGATGCCTTAGGACCTCCACAGCTGCTGCTCCCACACTCACTCCTGCAACTGCCTCCCAGGCTGAAAAGCATCTCCTCGGGCAATAACGATTCCAGTTGCTCTAGGGAGTGTTGGGCAATGCTACTAACACCTCCCAGACAGAGGAGGGCAGAGAGGAAGAGAGAGTTGGGTCAGCTGGTTGTCATGGTTATCTGACCCAGGGTCTCCTGGGCATATCCTGATTTCTACAGGGACAGTTAGCCAACATGATGTGGATCCCAGAGCTGAAGGAGTTATTCCAGAACCACCAAGGCTCATTTCTGCAACAGGTTTCTGGGCCCCAATTCTCAAATACCTGCTTTCCAGAAAGAATATGTTGGGTTACATATTATTAAACTCACAAACTATAAAGTTCTATGTGATTCTGCAATCTTTAGTTCCTTGCCATAGAAGGCCCTGTGGGACCATTTTCAACACTCCATCCCCTTTTTTTCAATATTTTATAATTTACTAACAAGAGTGAATTTTAACAGTAAGATTTAAACCCAGAATCAACTTGAATGTGCTACACTTTAAGAAAATTCCTTAAAAAGAAAATTCCTTACTGAAAAAAAGAACCAAAGCTGGAGGTTCTGTCCTTGGTAATCTAGTCTTTGAGGCAGCAATTTTAACCTCTGTAAATTCCTAGAGTTTGAGAAAGTTTACTCAACTTTACCTAGTCTAAGTTGCCAGTAGAATGTGCAGTGAGTCAACTGGACTGCTCCTAAGTCTGGAGAAGTGATAATGTTGACTAAGATTATATTACTGATCAATAGATACCAAAGAACTATCCCCTCCCAGCCCTTCCTTAACAAAGAGTCAGGCAAGAGCCCATGTTTTAATTCCTGGCTTCAAAGATGATGGGCTGTGCCTGCTAAAATGAAGAAAAGGGCGAAACTTGTTTTCCTTGTTTTTAGTAGAATTAGTTCTACAGTCGACCCCTCTGTTAAGTTATATGTATAGGTCATGGGAGAAGGAGCTTTGCTAGACTGTTGGTCATAAACTCTCTATCTCTGTACAGGGAATGAGAAGTCAACAAAGGGAGGAACCAAGCCAGGAAGGAGCCTCCAAACAGAATAATATGTGACACATTTAATACTTAATTTAGCCAAGCTTAAATATAACTAGAGATAGAGAGGGAGGAAGGAAAATGGTGGTCTCTGTCCTTACTTTAAATCTCAGGACAAATTATTCATGGCTGGAGAGAAATGTGGGCCAAAGGGCAGTTTTTAAGCCTTTGGAGTAGTGGCTTTGGGCCAGAGGGAGTATAGGGCTCTGTGCCTGGAAGCTCTGCTGACAAGGCTGGTCCTTTGGCCACTTCAGCTGGGAGTCCAGAATGTGGGTGAGAGGTTGAGAGTGGTGAAAGGGCCTAGAAGAGCCCCAAAGGGAATGGGAAGAGTCCATTTTCCAGCAATCGCCTGAAGGCCAGTTATCTTCCTTCTTTCTTCATTCCTACCTACCCACTTCTCTTGCATAATAGCAGAGACCTAGGCCATCCTGTTCACCATTGGATCCCCAGAACCAAGCAAGGCACTCAAATCTTTGAAGAAATAAATTCTCAGGCAACAATGTTCAGCATGAGTGGGATGCTCTGTAGGCACGTCTTTGGTTTTTAGAAAAAGCTCAGGGCTGGAGAGGGTTGGTTAGAAAGGGAAATGATGCACAGCAAGGAGGTACCAGGGTTCCAGGTTACACAAGTGCTAGAAGGGGTGACGTCTCCCCACCTCCCCACCACTGACCCTTCCAAGGGACGAAAGTAGCAAGTTGGAGTTCACTTTAACATGCCACCACAATTCAAGGCCGATTCTCCAGGCAGAAGCCATGTAACCATCGACAGGGCCAGCATAGAGGTCACTCTCCAGGGTAGTAGCCAACTTAGAAGTCCCTTTCAACCCAGTGGCTCTACATTTAAATCTTTCTTCATGAGAGCTCATTTTACCAGTCTTTTAACTATGTAGACTCCGATGAAGGACTGTCTGCTGGATTGCCTTGCTCTTAACTCTCCTACCATTCCCAGAACACATTCACAGATACAAAGAGTTCATTTTATCCAGAAATTTATTAGACGTCATTAATCTGTGTTACAGTAGAGGATCTGGACAAGGTAAAAATAGTTCAACTTTTCATTTGCCCTCATATAGCACCTTTCATTACTCTTAAAATTCCTAAAGTGCTCTTTCCCAAATTCCATGTTTTGATTGACAACTAAGAACCCAACACTCAAGACTGGAAGTAGGATCATGAACAGTGGTGGTGGGTGTGGGCCATCTAGTCAGTTTCGACTGACGGCGACCCTGTAGAGGGTTTCAGAGGCTGTAAAACGTTATGGATGCAGAAAGCCTCATCTTTCTCCCACAGAACAACTAGTGGATTCGAATGGCTGACTCTGCAGTTAGCAGCCCAACATGTAACCTACTATGGCCGCCAGAGCTCCTTAGGATCATGAGTGAGTGGCATCAAGTGAGTACTCAAGCGTCTCCTTCACTGGTTCCTTACTGTTCTTTTCTACCTCCTGCAACCACAGCAAAGTCTGACTTAGCATAAACAATTGTGATCCTCCTAGATTCATAGAGTAATTACATATATAAAAAATTTAATTGTGTAAATTTTGATGAAATTTAATATCAGTATCCAGACTATGGTAGAGTTTCAGTTAAAACAATCTAGCTAGTAAGTTTAGATGTCGATTCAATTTTTGTAGAATAGAACATAAGTACTTGCCCAACCAAGGTTCTAAACTTTGGGAGGGTAAAGAGGCAAAAAGCAAATGATGCTGGAGATTCTCACATTTCCACCATTTCAGCCAGGGATGCAGTGCGACATCATGGAAAGAACACCAGGTTGGGATCAGAGAAATGGGATACTGGGCCTTGAACGCGAATCACCTCAACTTTTGTTTGCCTCTGGTTCTGCATCTGTCACAGGCTATAACCATACTTTGTGACCTTTCACATTATTTTTCTCAAGTCTGTCTGCTTCTGATTTTTACTTACTCACACCTAAAAACCTCTTCCCGTAGCTACAATGTATAGACAGTGATGGGCCCAGTGCTTTTCTGCTTCTGGGCAAAGTGAGAGCAGGAGTGCAATGATGGTAAAGGCCAGAGAAGTCTCCTCCACCCTGCCACTGACTGGTCCCTACAGACAGGGGAGGAGGAGAGGAAGTGACCAGGGAGAAAAGGAGCTTCAACTAGAGCACAGTTGTGCAAAACCAAGAATCCACACAACTCGAGAGTGATATATTCGTGTTTACTACTTGTCTGATTGGGTCGCTTTCCATTTTTATTCATTTAACAAACACTAAGCTCTTACTATGTGCACAAGATGCTCAATAAATGTTGTCACTGTTGTTAAGTACCTGTATAGGGTTTCCAAGAGTGGCAGCTGGTGGGTCTGAAATGCCAACCTTGCGGTTAGCAGACCCGTGCTTATCCTATAGCACCACACCAGCATTCCCAATAAATGTTAGAAAGGGAAAAGAGGCAGGAATTCAGACGTCACTCCAGCTCTCTAGAGAGTGTATGTAAGTCTTCATGGTCTTCTCCATTTGCAGCCTCATTTCTACTCACAAGTTACTGACTACTCATGCGAACAAGTCCTTAAGCTCAGTCTGACCCCGTCTGTGATGAATGCCAATGTCCATTTCACTAAGAGATCACCTTCTGAAGCAGGTCTCAGCCTGCCTTAGAGGGTCTTCAGTTTCATCTGAGGATACGCCACAATGATGATGCCTGCTATAGAGGACAGAAGACCGCCAAGTCCAATGATGCCAGGATTGGACTTATAGATCCCCAGCTGGTCCAAAGGGTTCAGGATATCACCAAAGTTCTTCACCGTGTCCAAGAGCAAGGGGGGATGTGTCTTCAGGGATCGGAACAAGAGAAGGAGAAAGGTCTGAAGCCACTCTGTTTCTTCATCAGCCACACTGTGCACCAGAGGATTCTGGGATGGTGATTGCTGCTTCTTTGCCCTGTCGTGTGCAACCTGCTCCATCTGCAGGGAGATTTCATACAGATCCCTGGCCAGGTTCAGCAGGAGACAGTAGTAGTAGTAGCGGGCAGCCCACATTCGCCATTTCTCCTTGTTGATGCCAGAAGTGAGACCTACACTTCTTACCCAGAGGACGGTGTCACAGATGAAATAACCCACACGGCTCAAGTTGGCTAGTGTTAGACACAAGCGGGACACCAGGTCAGTGGCATGAACACTCTGCTGAGTTGCCTGAACAGCATGTACCACGTTTCCTAGTCTGAACCCTGCAAGGAGAACCCACAATGGTTAACAGTTACTTGATTAGTCTGGAATGGGAAGACAGGGTCCCTGCATCAGGGTGAGGGGCCAGCATTATTAGCCATTGTCTGTCATGAGAGGTTCAGTGTTTACTCAGGAAAGGACTCTATAGTATGTTCCATCCACACCAAACCCATTGCCACCGAGTCGATTCCAACTCAGTGACCCTATCTACATAGGCTTTCTGTGGCTGTAAATCTTTATGGGAGCAAACAGCCTCATCTGTCTCCCACAGAACCGCTAGAAGGTTTGAACTGCTGACCTTGTGGTTCTGCCCAATGCTTACCTTACAGTACAACCAGGACTCCTTACAGTATATTCAGGAAGCCTGAAATGATCCTGGTGGGTGTGTGCGGTGGAATCAGTTCCGACCCTAGAGGACAGAGCAGAGCTATCCATGGGGTTTCTAAGACCGCAAATCTTTACGAGAGCAGCCAGTCTCATCCTTCTCCCACAGAACGGCTGGTTGGTTTGATTCTCTAATCTAGGTGAATTCAATCAACCATTGCAGTGAGCATGGTTGTTAAGTGCCTTTGAGTCGGCTCTGGCTCATAGTGACCCTGAATCTGAAGAGTGGCGGGTAGGTCTGAACTGCCAACCTTGCAGTTCAAACCAACCTTGAAGCCCAGTGCTTTATCCTACAGCGCCACACCAGGACAGCTGGGATGTATTTATCAAATACCAACTAGGCTGAGTTGTAGTCCTAAACATTATAAAGGATACCTTAGACTCAGTAAGTGTTCCTGAAGAAGCTACCTTCAGAAAACTTACCATCTCAGGAAACCAGTGCATGCAGTGAACACTCCTGGGTTCCTGCTCTGGCTTTTCCAGTAACTGGCGGTGTGACCTTGGATAAGGTCCTTCTGGGCTCAGAGACCAGTGATCTGTAAAGGACCTTTGAGCTCCAACTTCACTAAAACGTCTAATCTTCAGTGTCATCCCGGACTGCTCACTGCACCCCTCCTCCCTCTGCTTGACAACTGAAGTCTTCTGTCAAGCTAGCTTCCTCAGTGATCTGCCTAAACAAGGGTTTGCCCTAACGCCTTTGATCATTTACAAAAGGACACCACCCTGCACAGCTGTTCTGTTTCCTTCTCTCTAACCACACCTCAATTCTACTTCCTCCAAAACACCTGTAAAGGAAAACTTTAGAGTTTGAAGGAAAACTTGACTCCAGCTAACTAGACTTGACACCAAATCTTTGTTCACTATTTGGACCATGTCATCTTACTTCCCTTTCCCATAAAGTTGGGGACTATCCCTACATAAAGTGTTGTTGTTAAGTGCTGTGGAGTCAGTTCCAAGTCATAGTGACCCTATATAGATAGGGTTTCTAAGAAGTGGTTGGTGGTAGGTTTGAACCACTGACCTTTCAGTTAGTAGTAGTCCAGTGTGTATCCTACAGCACCACACCAGGACTCCAATATGAAGTTGTTGTTAAGTGCTGTGGACTCAGTCCCAATTTATAGTAACCCAATTTTGGGTTTCTAAGGAGTGGCTGGTAGGTTTGAACCACTGACCTTTGCAGTTTAAGCGGACCTTGTGGCTCAGTGTTTATCCTACAGCACCATACCAGGACTCCAATATGAAGTAGGTGCTCAAAAATAATTAATCAATATCTGGTAATCATTCCATTTCAGTTTATCTCCTTGCCTACTACAGCAACATCTGGTTCTCATCAAACCAGGAATCAAGCATAGTAGCTACCCTTATTAAAACATGGGATACCCCAGGATAACTTATATAAAAGTGAATTAAATGAGTATAAAACTACTGAGTTCACCTTTTGTTTTTAACATGAAACCATCGTACAAATGGTTTACGAAAATCTACTCACCCATTCATTTCTTCTAGCAGTTCCAGCTAAGAGGGGGAAAGGCACGTGCTTTAGGATACAGCTATTCTGTTCCATGGTTATGTGCCATGGAGTCGGTTCTGACTCATAGCGACCCTGTACTGGGTTTCCAAGGCTGTAAATCTTTACGGGAGCAGAACACCTCATCTTTCTCCCGTGGAATAGCTGGTAGTTTCGACCTTGCGGTTCGCAGCCCGATTCGTAACCACTACACTACCAAAGCTCCTTCTGTTCTTCCATAGAGCACAAGAATTCCCAGGAGTCCAAAGCTCCTATCTGAGCTTGTCAGCTATTTATGACTCTAAGCCCTAAAGGCTACCTGATGCACTGTGATGTCCAGATGCTTATGATTCCATAGAAAGATATGGCGTAGCAACAAATGCGGATGTAGGAGGGTATGGCTGTAGGAAAACATTCAACCTTTTTGGTTGGTGACTCCGTGAGGACAGACTTACGGACTGATTCTACTAATAAACTTGACTGACTAGAAATGCATGACCTTGGAAGTGTTTTGTCTAAGACCGAGGATTCTAAACCAGGAGGCACCGTCCCTCAGGAGATGGGGTACTTACATTTCCGGCCAGTGCTCACACTGGACTCCAGTTTCTTGAGCTTCATTACCACCTCCTTCTCTTTGCCAGCTTTAGGCTCTAACAAATATCTAAGTAACATGCATGTGTACTGAATGGCTCTGAAATGGAGAAAACAACAAAAAAAGAGAGATAATTTACAAACCAACTAAGGCTTGATTCATGAAGAAAGGGTAAGAGAAAGATGTCTTACAAAAGGCAAAAGCTTCAAGATAGTATCTTATGTAGCAGCTCTTACAAGAGGAAAATTCAACAGGGCCAAAGGGTGGAACATGTGATGGAAATGCAACGCTAAGATGATGAAAGAGAACTCTGCAAGAATGCAGAGCCCACCCCCCCCCACCCCCCTGGCCCCAAGCCTTTTGCTCAAACAGAGAAATGGAGGTAGTGAAAGTAAAAAATTACACAAAATCCTCTCTCACGTTAAGTCTGCAGCGATCCATAATCTTTATTTACTTTGGTAGAATAATTTTCAGACCTTTAAATTAAATTTTTTTGACCACATAGTTAATCTACTACTTATGTGAAAGGGCACACACTTGAACTAGAATCAAGTAAAAAGTCCAGTCTGAAAATGTTCAATTTTTGATAAATGAAAGACCCAAATAAACACTAGCACATCAACAAGTTCATATATGTATTCCAAAACCAATTAGTACTTTACAGAAAATACAGATGAACTTCTATTTAATGCGTGGCGCTGGAGGATAAGCACTGGACTGCAAGATGGGTTTGAACCACAAGGTTGGTGGTTCAAATCCACCAGCTGCTCCTTGGACACCCTATACAGAGTCACTATGCCTTGGAACTTACTCAATGGCACTTAATAACATGTATTCAACTGTGGACTTGGGTGTCTCAGTGGTTAAAGCACTCAGCTGCTAACCGAACCCACCTGCTGTTTCACAGGACAAAAATTCAACAGTCTGTTTCCCTAAAGATACACATACCGCCTTGGAAACCCTAGGGGCAGTTCAGCTTTGTCCTACAGGGTCACTGTGAGTCCGAATTGTCTCAATTCACAATGTTTTTCATTTTTCAAAATATACTCAAAAAAGTGATTGTCATGCCTCCAAAGAACTGCTTTTCTGACAGAAATGTAATGAGAAAATTTGTCACATAGTCAAAAATCCACATGCGTGCTTCCTACAGGCCTGCATTTGAATCTCTTTCTGGTATAAATATTATCCTCAAGATAAATGTGGCATATTTTCCAAAATGGTGACCTTGTTATTAGGAACAAAGCAAAAAAAAAAGAAAAGGATCAGAAACAATCTTTCTTTCTCTCTTTTTTTAAGTGTGCTTCCTGGTTTGGGGAGGCTCAAGTTGGCCATGCCACTAAAGCTCCCTCCCCCAGGTCTGGTCTAAGAATAGGATCCACACATAATACACTGCAGACCCACTAGTTGTACTGCAGGTGACGTTGTCTGTAGCTACATCATACAGAGACCAATAATCCACAAAATCAATCCACAGCCATCGAGTCAATTCTTACAGCAATCCTACGTAGGATTTTGAGATTATGCATCTTATGGGAGCAGAGAGCAGCACCTTCTGCAAAGCAACTGGTGGCTTTGAACCACCAACCTTGTGGTTGGCAGCCCAACATCTAACCTAGATCACTAAGGGAACTGAGAAATGCTACATCTGGATAGGCACTGGCCTGCTAACTGAAAGGTTGGTGGTTCAAACCCACCAGTCACTCCATGGAAACCCTATACAGGATGTGGCACTGTAGAATCAGCACTGGACTGTGAACCACAAGGTCAGCAGTTCCAACTCACCAGCTACTCCTTGGAAACCCTATACTGGGTCACTATGAGTTGGAACCAACTTGATGGCACTTAACAACAACAAATGAACCCATGGCATTTAACAACAACAAACATTTACTTTAGGCTTCTATTTTTTTGAAGCTTGTACATACTGCAACAATTTTGAAAACTTATCAAATTCATTAGATGGTAGTATGGCTTGTTATAAGGAACCCTGGAAGCATAATGGATGCACACAGCAGTTCGAATCTATCAGCTGCTCTGCAGGACAAAGATGAAGCTTTCTGCGCCCATATTTACAGCCTTGGGAACCTTAGACAGCGTCGCTATGGAGTCCTGGTGTGGCATTGTGGGCTAATACACTGGACTACAAAGTCAGTTTGAACCACAAGATCAACGGTTCAAGCTCAGCAGCTTGAATAAAAGGTCACTATGGGTCGGAACCGACTCAATGGCACTAAACAACAGCATGACCTGTACTGGGTCAGGATGAGTCCTAACGGACTCAAGGGTGGGCACCAGCAGCCCGCTGCAGCTCAACTGTGTGACTCAATCTCTCAGCTCTGCCACTTGGTACCTATTAGCTTCCTTCTGCTTCAGCTTCCCCATCTATGAAACAGGGATCATATACGTAGGGTTGTAATGAGGGTTAAACAAATCGAAAAAAGTTGTAAAAACTTTTTTTAAAAAAAGTTTTTAAAGAAGTAAAAAACACTGATAGCAACGGTTGGCACGTAGTCAGCGTCAACTTTTGGGGCCTATTTTTATTGGTCTCTGTGTTAGCACCGCCCCATTCAGAGGAGTTGGAAAAGTTGTTCAAGAAAACTGAAACGATTTTTTATTACTGAACAAGAATCGATCAAATTTCTAGTAGAAACATGATAAACGAATCGGTAAACACCACAATCTCTGTTTAATATTTTCAGTAGCACAGTATGTCCCTTAGGGCAGTTCGATCTTTCTGGAACTGTCAAGAATGCATTGCTGTACAGTTTACAAAACTCTCTCTCTTGCAGCATTGTTAAGAGCTTGGGAAACAGTGGCAGATAAATACTTTCCCATAGTATTGCATTTCATGGGCTAGTTGAAGCCAGAAAGCTATATGCTTTCCTAGCCATAAATGTCAAGCGAGAGAAAGTTCCTTGAAAAGAAAAAAAAAAAAAAAGCCTTTAGGAAAATGTTGAGCTGATGGGTCTTCCTCTGCCTGGAGAACAAAGTTGGGAGAGAAGGCGGCGCAGTCATTGTCGGGTGTTAACTGCGAGAGGTCTCGGCGGCTGGGGTGCCGGGCACCTGGGCTTTCAGCGCACAGGTGGTTCAGAACCGGTGCGGATGGCCCAGACTCCTTGAATTTAGGGTGAGAAGGACCTCAAGAAGCAAACTCCCTCCGTGGGAACTAGCAGCGTCCTAGTTTCTCCCGTTTCCGTCCACTAGGCTGGATAGCAGGGACGCTGGAGAGCAGATCCCGGTGCGGGGTCGGAGAAAGAAACGGGTGGAGGACGCTGGCACCTGACTCACCTGAAGAGTCGGTCCCGGCCTTGAGTCTGATTGGTGAAGCGTATGAAGGTTTCCATGGCGCCCAGGACGAGAGTCACACCGGGACCGGTCGTGGGCCGTCAGCGCATGGGTGCCGCTCTCCTCCCTGGGGGAGGGTCGGTCCAAACTCCGACCGTGGGACCTAGTCTTTACGCCCACTTAGGAGCGCGTGCTCAGCTGGGTGAGCGACTCCGCGGACTTCCCGTTGGAACCGGAAGTGATGGTTACTAGGGAGACGTCAAGCCGCTGGATTAGGTGAGTGTCATTTCTGCTGCTGCCCTCGGATACCTGCTTTTTCTTTTTCTGCAGAAACCTCCCTTTCCTTCCAGGGCCTCTCAAGTCTGGGCGAAGGAGTACCCAGGAACCCCAAGGGGAATCCCGAAAGGGTCTCCGCAGCTCGAGAACTGCCTTGAGTCTTTGCTTGGTGATTGTGGGGCATGGCCGTTAATCAAAGCCTTTTGTTTGTTTACGATGATTTAAGAGCCGCTCCAGGTTTAGTGAAAGAAACTGTTAAAGCAGGAACAAGTCAATTCATGGAGTGTATGTATTTCTACCATGAGAGGTGAGTACAGTGAGAGAATTTTCGGTTTGGGTTGTTGAAGACTTAAAGAAGATAGATAGATACTAAAGGAAATTCTTGAAGGGTCGACATGAACAAATTATGTACAGTGGTCAAAACACAAATTTATTTGTTGTTGTTAGGTGCCATCGAGTCGATTAAGACTCATAGCGACCTTATGCACAACAGTAGGCAACACTGCCCGGTCCTGGGCCAACCTCACAAACGTTGCTCCTCTTGAGTACATTGCTGCTGCCACCATGCAAATCCATCTCTCTGGGGGGTCTTCCTCTTTTTTACTGACCCTCCACTTTACCAAGCATGATGTCCTTCTCCAGAGACTGGTCTCTCCTGATAACATGTCGGAAGTATGAGAGACAAAGTTTGGCCATCCTGGCCTATAAGGAGCATTCTGGCTGTACTTCTTCCAACACAGGTCTGTTGGTTCTTCTGGCAGTCCATGGCACCATTAATATTCTTCTCCAACATGATAACTCAAATGCAACAATTCTTCTGAAGTATTCCTTATTCACTGTCCAACTATCACATGCATATGTTGTTATTGTAAGGTGCCATAGAGTCGATACCGACTCATAGTGACCCTATGCACAACAGAGTGAAACCCTGCCCAGTCTCACACCAACCTCACAATTGTTGCTATGCCTGAGCCCATTCCTGCCGCCACTGTGCCAATCCATCTTGTTGGAAGTCTTTCTCTTTTTCTCCAACCCACCACTTCACAAAACATGATATCCTTCTCCAGGGACTGGTGCCTCCTGATGATATGTCTGAAGTATGAGAGACACACTCTGACAATCCTGGCTTCAAAGAGCATTCTAGTTGTACTTCTTCCAACACAGATCTGTTTGTTCTTTTGGCAGGCCATGGTACTTTTAATATTCTCCAACACGGTAACTCAAATGCATCAATTCCTCTGGGGTCTTTCTGTTCACTGTCCAACTTTTGCATGCATATGAGGTTATTGAAAATACCATGGCTCGGATCATGCGCATCTTAGTCCTTAAACTGACCTCTTTTCTCCTGAATACTCTAAAGAGGTCTTGTGCAGAAGATTTTCCTAATGCAATATGTCGTTAGATTTCTGGACTGCTGCTTCCATGAGTGTTGATGGTTGGTCCAAGCAAAAGGAAGTCTTTGACAACTTCTATCTTTCTTCCATTTGTTTGGCTGCAGTTTATTGGTCCAGTAGTGAGGATTCTTGTTTTCTTTACATTGAAGTGCAAACCATGTTGAAGGCAGTGATCTTTGATCTTCATCAATAAGTATTTTAAATCTTCTTCACTTTCAGCAAGCAAGTTTGTATCATCTGTACACAGAAGCACTCAGGAATATATAATCATTCAAACAACCAAAGGGTGCACCCCGAAAACCTGCCCCTCGTGCATCAACACACAGCCCCTCTCCCTCCCTGAATCCAGAGTCCCCAGCTGCTTCATCTCTCCATGTCATCATCGTCTCTGCCTCCATCTCTGGTGTCACTGCGTCTCTGGATAGGGTCCTGCACTCCACTCTTCTGTCTTGATGGTCCCAGGGTCCTCTGCTCCTGGGCTGCAAGATCAACCGCTCCCCTCCTTTTGTTCCAAACATCTGCCTTTACATTTGCAACACTCACAATCAGTCCTGATAACAATCATTCACTAATGAACCACAAGAGACTGATCCCCATCTCCTTTCACCAGCCCATCCAGACAGGTTGGAAAGCACTTAGTGGAGATTCTACCTTACCCCGTACCTCTGAAACTAGGCTCTCTCTTGAAAGCTTGTAAGCCAGTCACTTCGTGCCTTTGTTGTCCCCCCACCCCCATTTTGGGTAACCAATGTCTAGGTTGCCCATCCCTGTCAACCCTGTGTACTGAGGGAGTGGGAATGATCCTTGCTGTAAAGATTTGTTCCCTCTTTTGAGCTACTATATCTATAAGTATAGGTCAAGTTCATCAAATTGTAGTGGATTACTCTTTTTTTTCCCCTTCTTTCTTCCTCTAGTCAAATTCTGATCATCCAGCCATTGAAGCCAGGTCAGATGGGCACTATCTGTAAATATGGGTATTCTTGTGCATCTCCCCTCACTTCATAGCAGCTGAATGCTTTACTCTCCACTCTAGTCCTCTGTGGCCCTGTCCCTGTCCCTGTGCCCAAGAGTCCCTAGGTCTTGCCATACTGCTGGCCAACCAGGTCTCAATCCAGGTTGACAGGAGTCTATTGAACGTGGTCAGACTTAGTTCACAACTTCATTGCTGTTCCCCCCTCCCCCCGCTTCCCTTTATCAGTAAACCAACGTAGTTACCAGCACCTAGGCTGTAAATTTTTATGGGAGCAGAAAACTTCATCTTTCTCCCACAGAGCATCTGGTGGATTCGTACTGCTGACCCAACTCATAACTCGCGATGCTCCCAGGGCTCCTTGTGGTATAGACAAAGATGTGGCAGTCTGATTAGGAAGGAACGTGCCAGTCTTTGGGATAAATAGTTCCCGTGGGTGGTTGTGTTGGGGAAAATGATCTGTTATCTTTCAGTTGTTGTTGTTAAGTGCTGTCGCGTTCGTTCCAACTCATAGTGCTCCTGTATAGGGTTTCCGAGGAGCAGCTGGTCAACTTGAACTGCTGACCTTGCGGTTCAAACCGACCTTGCAGTCCTACGCATAAACCCACAGCACCACACCAAGTCTTCTATTAGTTTGCCTTTTTTCTCATAGTTCCTTTGTTTATTTCCTTTATCAGCTTTTTAGAGTCTCACAGAAATTCCCAGTGCTGCCTTTTGTGATGTCATCCCCTAAAGGAAGTCAGACCCAGAAGATGAAGCCACCCATTTGTATACGAAAAGGACCACTGGAGGTGCCCTCCCCCTCAGAGCAGGACTGGTCTAAGGATGATGAAGAGGATTTTGCCTTCAAGGATCTGGGTCATGGGCTTGATTCGCTGCCTCAGCCTTATAGAATGATCAACAAGCTAGTGAACCTTCTGTTTGATCGGTCATGGGAAATTATTGAGACGAAGGAGGCAACAAGGGAAATCAATCTTACTCAGATCCATCCCATCATCTACTCTCCACTTGTAGAAATCAAGGTAACCACCAGGACTCTTGGTTTCCAGTTGAGTGTTAATATATGAAAACACCTCATCCAGAAAAGCCCTTCCATCAAAAACGTCCATTCAAAAAAGTGGTTGTCATTTTGAAAGATTATAGGCATACTGATGTTGAATGAAGTCGGTCTGGTAATGGCTGTGAGAAGTGGGATCTTCTGGTTAACGGAAGATTATGTGCAAGAGCTTTTTTATTGTTCAGTTACATTTGAAAAATCTTTCTGAATGTATTCATCTAGCCTCTTGCTTGATATGGTGGACACTCTGCCAGTACCTCAGCTATCTCTCTTCTCACAGTATTCTAAATGGATCAAGTACAGAGCATGGACCCCTTAGCCACTCATCACAGTGCCTGTGGTCACCCTTAGTGTTGTGAATGTGCATTTATTCTCAACGTCTGTGTTTCCTCTTGCTTTCCCTCTCAAAGTAGTGGAATGTAATGACTTTCTTGCTGCTTGGGTAAGGGAGTTAGATATTCACTGTTTGGGGATGTTATTATATCTAGGAAGGGCGCTCATCCCTCTTTGAAAAATTGCCCATATTATTTAAAGACAGTGACAACTGAAAACCATTCCTTTTTGTTTGTTTTTGTTTTCTCAGCTCGGCACAGTGCCAAATTGCATGGCTATGTCCCAAGACTATATTTTTATTGGAGGAGCCAGAGGATTCTCAGTCTATAACCTGTACAGTGCTAAACAGATATGTGCTTGGGAGAAACTGAAAGTTGATATCACTTCCATCTGGGTCACAGACATGGGGAGTGAAATCCTTATTATTACTGTGGATGAAATAGGTACTTGTTTATCACCATCCCTTTAGCCTCATTTACGGATGCCTGAGAGGGAATAGAGGGGTCCTGATGGCTCAAAGTGCTCAGCTGCAAACCAAAAGGTCGGCAACTTGAACCCACCAAGATGTGGGCAGTCCGCTTCCATAAAGGTTTTCAGCCTTGGAAACCCTCCGAGGCAGTTCTGCTCTTTCCTTAGCTAGTCTCTACGAGTTGCAATCAACTCAGCAGTGGGTTTCATCTGGTTTTGGTGAGGTTATGGAGAAGACAAGAACACAAGGTTTGTAGATTCTTGTTCAATTTAATACCCATTCCAGGTGTGGGTGAGACCAAGCATGGCGCATTCTCCCTGGTCACCTAGTAGTAACTAACACCTTTGGAGCAAGTACAATGTGCCAGGCACTACGCTAACATTTTCCACATTAGCCCATCTCATCCTAGGAGGTAAGTACAACTTATTACCACTGATTTTCTGAAGAGGCAGCTGAGGTAAGGAGACAACCTTCCTGGAAGTACCACATAAAGTAAGCGACACAGGCACGCTTTAAGGCAGGCAGTGTGACCCCAGAGTCCACACCTGGTGCACACTCAGCAATTCTGCCATTTACATAAAGTCGAGCTTTTCTCCCTCCACCTGAGAATGAGCCAGGACCTTGTGGATAGGATGGTATAGAGAACCATGACCAATGTCCTAGATGGGTGAGCTGGTGCTGTTGGTTGTCCCAAAATTCTAGGCGAGCATCAGAAGCAACAAAGTCTGGGTGCAGAGGGTAGGTGTGCCTTCTGCTGAACCAGAATGTGGTATAGGCACCAAGAAGAGCTCCAAACACCCAGCCTGTCAACCTGACCTAAAGGAGGGACTGGACACAGACAGCCACTTCCTGCTTACACCCCAGAGAGCTGGGCTTTCTCTAGCCTGCTTTTATGTTTGGAAATGGAGGCCTCTGCGGTCCTGGGGTACCCAGACTCCTGTGTTTGGATATGTGAAGCTTCTATACTTGGTGGGGATCAGAAGACAAGTATCAGCATTGACCAGGAAACCAGGGGTCACGTGTCTATACTACCAGGGCACACAGAGCAAAGTGCCTGCTGGCCCAGCGGACCTCTGTTGCAGCAACATGGGCACACTGAAGGAAACCTTGCTGGAGAGGGACACAGTACCCAGGCAGAATGAGAGGCAGGGAGACCATTAAAGAGAGACATTAAAAGAGTGTGACCCAAAGCAGGGGCAGTTAAAATGAGAAGGGAAAATTGGTGTATCACTCTGTAAATATCAACACTAGAGGGAGCGAGGTGAGGGATAAAGGAAACTGTGCTATTTTGGTATCTTTCTGTTAAGCCTACAACTGTTATTGGATGCTGCCAAGTCCACTCCAACTCCCTGGGACCCCATGTGCTAGACAAAGTAGAACCGCCCCATAGGTTCTCTTTTTGGAAGCAAATCACTGGGCCCTTCTCCTCCGGAGCTGGGTGGATAGCAGCTGAGCACTTAACTGTTAAGTCACCAGGGCTCCTTAAGTCTAAAACTGTTTCAAAATTTAAGTTTTAAAAAAATGAAAAGAAAAATGTAATGAAAAAAACTTGATGGGCAACAGAACATGTGTATGGTGGGGCACTAACCTTCTATGATAGTAACAATTAAGAGAATTAAGGTTTCAGGGTCTGTGCACTGAAGAGTTTCATTTAAACATGAATAGATTTGAGGTGCTTGGACAATGTCCGAGTGGAAATATTGATAGTAAAGAGGAGGAGTTTGGCGTAAAGATAGGCTCTCATTTATCACATGGCATTGGGTCTAGTTGGCTTCACGTCTGCGTTACCCTCGGTAGGATGAATTTGGAGGCAGAGACCGTGTTGCTGTCCCCATATATTCACTAGGATGGAGCAAGTATCCCATGAATGTTTATTGGGTTGAGTTAGACTGTTACCTGCAGTGAGTCAGCTGCCTTTATAAGGGCAGAATTCTGGATGTAGGGGAATTTATGAATATTCTAAAAAAGGAAAAAAGTCATTCTGAAGGCTGAGAATGCACGGGTTCCCTAGGTTCAGTGGGAATTAGAGTGGTGGAGTTATGTATTCAACAGAATGAACGGAATGAGAGGTTTATTGAGGGATGACAACAAGTGAGACATAGAAGAACAAAATCTAATTCTTCAGAGAACTACTAGCAACAGCTGGATAACATTGCATGGCAGGGAGAGGCGAGACGCCAGAGCAGGAGGACGGTAGATATCAAGGAAGTGATTGATGTAGCCAGTGAGTTTGCAGCAGGCTTCCAGCTGTAGATGTGAGGTCTGAGGAGAGAGAACCACCTGAACATTTCAGATGACAGAGTAGAGGAAGGTAGGGCGTCCAAGATCAGCTTGGGCAGTGGAAAGGCCAGGAAGAAAGTATGAGTTTATGATGGTAATTTCAGAAAATCCAAGACAATATTTAGTTCACTTATCTGTCACCCAAGTCTCACTTGTTTTTCTGTTTCAGGTATCATTAGACTGTTTTATTTTTGTAAGGAAGTTCTTTACCTAATCAAGGCCATCAATGAAGCGGTGAGTTCCTATTCTTTTTCACCTAAAACTGGGACAAACCCTGCTGCAAATTAGGTGTATTTTTTTTTTTTTTTTAGGAGGAGGGGGATGGGGAGATTGACTTGAGTCAAGGTTTACAGACCCAATCATAAATCTTACATTCAAGAAATCACACACCTTATTTCAAATTAGGTTTAGTTTTAATATGGAGGTGATGAGCTCTGTCCTGGCTTAAGAGAGACCTATGTGGTCAGAGAACCTCCTCTGAAATATACACTTAAAAGATCCCTCACCATCAGAGGGGGCTGCTGAGTGCTGTGGATTTCTTTACTCTGCTGTCAAGAGAAGAAAAGACAACGACACTGGGGTCCAGATTTTTCTCTTGAGTGTCAGACCCAACACCTAATTGTTGTTGTTAAGTGCCATCGAGTCGGTGCTGACCCATAGCGACCTTATGCACAGCAGAATGAAACACTGCCTGATCCTGGGCCAACCTCAGTATTGTTGCCACGCTTGAGTCCATCGATGCTGCCACTTGGCCAATCCATCTCGTTGGGGGTCTTCCTCTTTTTCTCTGACCCTCCACCTTACCAAACATGATATCCTTCTCCAGCGACTGCTCCCTCCTGACAATATGTCCAAAGTACGAGAGACAAAGTTTGGCTATCTTGGCCTCTAAGGAACACTCTGGCTGCACCTCTTCCAAAATGGATCTATTGGTTCTTTTGGTAGCCCATGGCACTTTCAATATTCTCCTCCAACACCATAACTCAAAAGCATCAATTCTTCTACGGTCTCCCTTATTCACTGTCCAACTTTTGCATGCATATGAGGTTATTGAAAATATCATGGTTTGGGTCAGATGCACCAAATAATGACTTTAAAATCCCTCGATTTTCCAGGCTGTGTCATATCCCATACCCTGGCCCAGGCTGTCTCTCTGTTTGGAATGCTCCCCCTCGACTCCCACCTCCTCCCAGATGCACCTGTTAATTTCCTCTCATCCTTCAAGAGCAACTCAGACATCTCCTTATCTAAGATGTTTTCCCTGACACCCTCTCCTTTTTTGCCACCACCATATTGAACAACAATATTGGAGTTCTGGTGTGGCGATGTGGGTTAATGCACTGGACTGCAAAGTCAGTTTGAACTGCAAGGTCAACAGTTCAAGTTCACTGGCCGCTCTTCAGAAACACTATACAGGGTCGCTATGGGTCAGGACTGACTTGACGGCACTTAACAACAACAACATATTGAACATTTTCTACCTCCTCTATATGGGAGCCTTGGTGGTGCTGTAGGGTAAGCACTGGACTGCTAGCCACAAGGTCTGTCACTATGAGTCAAAATCGACTCTATGTCAGTGGGTTTGGTTTGGTTTTGGATTTACAACCCTCTTCAAGGAGCCCTGGTGGCATGGTGGGTTAAGCATTGGGCTGCTAACCTAAAGGTCAGTTCAGTGCTTAAAACCTACCAGCCCGTCGTGAGATAAAGAGAAGACTCTGCTCCCTAAACATTTTCAGTCTCGGAAATGCTGTGGAGCGGTTCTACTCTGCCCAACGTAATAGGGTCGCTTGAAGTCGGAATCCGCTTGACATAAGTGTGATTTCACATCCTCTTATGTATTTGTTTATGGAGTCCTGGTGTGGCACTGTGGGTTAATGCGTTGCACTGCAAAGTCATTTAAACTGCAAGGTTTGGTGGCTCAAGCTTAACCATCCGCTCCTCGGAAACCTTATAGAGGGTCGCTATGGGTCAGAACCCACTCGACAGCACTTAACCAACAACAAACGCTTATTTATTTATAGTCGCTGCTGCATCTGTACATGAGCTCTTTGAGAGAAGGGGTTGTGTCTTAGTCTCACCTTGTGTCCCTTATTCCAAACACACTGTAGGTTCTCAGAAAGTGGTTTTTTGAACGAGTGAATCCCCAAAAGGGTAATGACTGAGAGGGGATTTTTTTAAAAATATTGTCTTTTTGGTGAAAGTATACATAGCAAAACACATTCCCATTCAACAATTTCTACACCTAATGTTCAATGACACTGATGATGTTCGTCCTACTGTGTTAGGATTTAATGATTTCTGTTCTAGTTATTTCACTTCCATTAACTTAGACTCATCACCTCCCAAATGTGTCATCTGTGCTTTAGAGTAATCGTTTGCCCATTTGATCTTAATATCATTTAAAAAAAAAAAAAAAAAGAGTACAGTAATCATGGATGACAGTCTTTAATTTTGGGCTAAACTGCTCTTTGGTTTAAAGGTGACTTCAGGGGATAGTTTCACCTCAAGGTTTAAAGTGTATCTCAGGGCAGGGTTCCTGGGAATTCCTCTAGGCTCGATGGGTCAAGGAAGTCTAGATTTTTTGTGTATTTGAAGTTCTATTTCTCATTTTTCTCCCTTTGTATCAGGATCCCTCTATTGTGTCTTGATCAGAACCTCAGGTGGTGGGAGCTGGGTCCCATCTAGTTCTTCAGTGGTCCACAGTGACAGTTAGTCCTGTAGCCCAGTTCTTTCACTATTCCTTTCTTTCTCTTTTGCTCCAGATAAAGAGAGACCAATAGTTGTAACTTGGGTGGCCACTCACGAGCTTTTAAAACCTCAGAACACTAGTCACCAAAATAGGGGGCAGAACACAAACTGTAAGAACTATATTATGTCAGTTGGCTTACTGTATGCAAAACCATGACCCTAAGTCCTCAAACCAAGAAAACAATTCCCTCAGGTGATTGCTTATATCTAACAAGTATCAGCATTTGTAGTCCTTATTTGTTTTATTATATGTATTTTGTTTTCATTGTGGCAAAATTAATACCAAACATAGCATTGGCCAAGTCATTCTTTTTCTTGTGTACAACTTGGAGGCATAAGCTGTAATAGTCAAGCTGTGTAAACGTCACCCACATTCCTGCCACCTTTCCTGTCACCATAAACAAGTGACTACTCTCTAGAGAATGATTCTCCTCCAACTTCTGCTGGTGGGGGTTGTGTGCTAGGAGTCGGTTCCAACCCATAGCAACCCTACATAGTGTTTCCGAGGTTGTAAATCTTTACAGGAGCAGAAAGCCTAATGTTTCTCCCACGGAACAGCTGGTAGTTTCAGACTACTGACCTTGAGATTAGCAGCCCAACTTGTAACCCCTATGGTACTAGAGTTCCTTTCCAATTCCTGGTAGCCACCAATAAACATCAGTCTCTGTATATTTACTTATTCTTGTCATTTCATAAAAGTGAGGTCATATAATGTGAGGGAGTTTTGAACAGTTGGTGGAAAAATTCCATTATCTTCCAGTTACATTTTTCTACGAACTTTTTGAAGCCCCCTTGTATCTGTCCTTTTGTTTCACTTATTTCATTCAGTGTAATATTGTCTAGGCCAATCGTCCATGTCTCAAGATGATTCAGGATCTCATTTTTCTTCATGGCTGAATAGGACTCCATGGTTTGTGTGTATCACATTTTGTTCACCCATTCATTTGTTCATAGGCAGTTAGGTCGTTTCCATCTTTTTGCTGCTGTAAATAGTGCTGCAATGAACATTATCTGTTCATGTCTCTTCTGTTAGATCCCTAGTGTATATGCCTGTGAGTGTAATTGCAGAGTCATATCGGATTCTTGGTGTGGTGCTATTGAATCAGCACAAGATCAGCAGTTCAAACCCACCAGCTGCCCCTCAGAAATACATCGTCTCTATGAGTCAGAGTAGACTCAACAGCACTTAACAACAGCATGGCCATACTATTTTTAATTTTTTAAGGAATCACCATACTGATTTCCCCACAGTGGTTGTATCATTTTACATTTCCTCCGGCAGTGGATAAGGGTTCCAATCTCCCCACGTCCTTGCCAACATCTGTTGCTTTCTGACGTTTTTGATCATTGTCACTTGAGCAGGAGTGGGGTGGTATCTCGTTGTCCTTTTGTTTTGCATGTCTCTGTTGGTAACGACAATGAACATCTTTTCATGTGTTGGCTGCTTGAATATCCTGTCTGGTGACATGCCTGTTCATGTCCTGTGCCCGTTTTTTATTGGGTTATTTGTCTTTTGCTGTTAAGATGTAGGAGTTTTATATATGTTTTGGATACTAGACCCTTATCAGGTTGTTCCCAAAGATCTCAGAAGAGATTTTTAATGGCAGTTTGTCTTATACAAAACACTACCGATGAGCACCAAGACAATTCAATGGAGAAAGAAAATGTTTCCAACAATGCTAGACCATCTGGATAAACAAATGCTAGACCATCTGGATAAACAAATGGGGAAAATGAACCTCAACCATACTTTACACTGTGTATGCATAAAAATTAATTTAAGCAGATTGCAGACCTGAATGTGAAAGCTAAAATCTTGAACCTAAAAAGAAATATTGATATTGGATTTACTTTTCAAAATTTAGAACTTTTCATACTGCATACCAAATATAAAATTTAACTCAACATGGATCATTATCCTATATGTAAAATATGAAACTATAAAAGTCTTAGAAGAAAGTTTAGGAGAATGTCTTTGTGTCTTTTGATGTTTCTGTTAAGTCGCTTTTGACTTACAGTGATCCTGTATGGGGTTTCTGAGGAGCAGCCGGTGAGTTTGAACCACCGACCCTGCAAAGATTTTTTAGCTACCACACCAAAAACACAAGCCATAAGAGAAAAAAGCCTAATATATTGGACTTCAGAATTAAAAACTTTTGTTCTGTAAAAACACTGTCAAAGGATTAAAAAGACAAACTGCAGACTGGGAGAAAATATTTGTGAATCATTTATCTGACAAAAGACTTGTATCCAGAATTTGTAAAGAACTCTCAGACTGTATGATTCTACTTCTGTAAAACACTAGAAAATGTAAACTAATCTATAGTGCTAGAAGGAAAATCAGAAATTATTGGATGTATGGGAGTTGGAAGAAATGGGAGGGAGAGATTACCAAGAAGTATGAGAAAGCTTTTGGGAATGATGGATCTGTTCCTGTCTTGGTCATGATGATAGCTTTGAGGGTATATATGTGGAGGCGTTAAAAATGTTCATGGAAAAATGCCATTAACTTTTTTTTTAAGCTTTGTGTTGTGAATTGAGTGGTGGTTGACAGAGCAGGGCATCAGTTTTACATTCAACAAATCCCACACTTTGTTTCATCTCAATGATTGCAATCCCCTCCATGCAACAACAGTGATCCCACTATCTCCCTGTGGTTTTTATTCCCATTCCATTCTCCTTCCTATTCCCTTCTCAACTTTATCCTTAGGTACACGTTGCCCTTTTGATTTTTAATGGTTGGCCATTCCATGGTAAGCATACCTTAATAGTATTGTTGTCCCCACTGTATCCCTATCTACTCCGCTTAGCTGAAAATTGGACCATGAGGGTGAATTTCATGCCAGATCTAAAGGGCGGCCAAGGGCCATAATTTCGGGTTCCTCCAGTCTCTTTCTAAGGAGCCTTGGTAGCATAGTGGTTGTGAGTCGGGCTGCTAACCTCAAGGTCAGCAGTTTGAAACTATCAGCTGTTCCACGGCAAAAAGATGAGGCTTTCTGCTCCCGTAAAGATTTACAACCTTGGAAACCCTGTATGGGGTCACTATGAGTTGGACCTACCACCATCAGTCTCTTTGTGGTAACTAAATCTGGTCATTTTTTAAAATTTTGAGTTGTGTTCCACATTTTCCCTCACTCTATTCTGAATCCTCTAATGTGATTCCTTTCACAGTGGTTGATAGTGGTAACCAGGCACCATCTAGTTCTTGTGGTCACAGAGTCTTGGTGAAAATATTCTATATGCTACTTTATTGAGTAGTGACTGAGATCGTAAAAACTCATGAGCATCCATCAAAGTGCAATCATTAGTCTCTCCATGTCCAGAACAAAGAAAAGTAAAGAAAGTCAAAGAGACATGGGAACAAATAGTCCAATGGACCATCAGCTTCCATGACTCTGAGACCAGAAGAACTGTACAAACAAAGCTCTTCAGAGTTTAAGCTCTAATGCAATCCACAAAAATACTTAGGAATGTTCATAGCAGCTTTATTCATAATTATAAAAACTGGAAACAAACAAAGAGCAGTGAACATTTTTGGTGTGCTAGTTTGATGGAATAATATATAACAAAAAAACATAATGAAATACTGATACTCATAGTAGCATAGATGTAACTCCAAAACTTTGAGTGAAAGAAACCAGATGTAAATAGTATGTTCTGTGTGATTCCAATTGTATGACATTTATGAACAGGCAAAGCAATTTATGGTGACAATGGTTCAGAACGTTGGTTGTCTATAAAGGTGGGGATTGAGATGAGGCAAAAGGGAGCTTTCTAGGGGATATTATTTATAAAGGAATATGAAATATACAGGAATATTCTTTATCTTGACTGGGTGCAAATTATATAGATGTGTACATTTGCCAAAACTCATCAAGTTGTATACTTAATACATGTAATTTTCCCTTTATTTAAATTTTGTTTCTAAAAACCTCTAAAGAATATGTAAGGGGAAAATGCCTCAAGTCATCTTATTACAACAGCATACTGAAGATATCCAATCCTGATAGGTACATTAAAAAACAAAAGCACTATTACTGGATTAAAACACACCAGAAATGTTTTTAAATCCATGAATTTGTCATATACATATATTTAAAAATTTCACTGTCACCTTTGGAGATAGCTGGGCCATAAAGTGCAGAATTCTAAAAACTGGTAAGAAGTAAACATTCATCCTAACTTGCGCTGTGTTTCAGAGTAACCAAATAGTTGATGGTAGAAACATCTCCTTTATAGAAGAATTCTAATAAATGCAGAAGAAATGATAGATTTGGACTACCCCAGTTTTGTAACTATTTTCATGGTCTAGAGGGAAAAGTGGAGTCCTGGTGTGCTGTACTACAGTGTACTGGACTTCAAGGTTGGCAGTTCAAACTCACCAGCAGCTCCTTGGAAACCTGATACAGGGTCGCAATGAGTCAGAACCGACTCGACGAAACCTAACAACAACAAGGGGAAAAAGTCATCTAGGCAGTGAGATGATCTCAAAGAGCTGATGGGGAACTTTAGACTTGACGGATCAGGATGACACCTAGTCTGGCGCTGTAGGATAAGTGCAGGACTCAAGGTCAGTTTGAACCACAAGGTCGGTGGTTCAAACTCACCACTAGCTCCTTGGAAACCCTATATTGGGTCACTATGAGTCAGAACTGACTCCAGGGCACTTAACAACAACATCAATAAAGAAAAGAAAAGCAGTTTTATAAGCTTCCTGGAGTGATGCAGTAGACCTGTAGAGTATCCTTGTAGAAACAATTGACCCTAAATGCAGACATAGCTCTCTGTCCAATCACCAGTTTACAGGCAATATGAGGGGCTTCAAAAAGTTCATGGAAAAATGAAATTTCACAACTTTTTGAAGTCCCCTCGTACAGAGTACAGAGGAACATATTAAATGGCATCATGAGGATGCAATCAGTCCAGGTAGGGATGTGAAAAATTCGACAGGACAAATGACGTGGTTTCTTCAAGAAAAACAGGAAAGGGGACCATTATCAACTTAGCAGCTACAGAAGGAGCCCTGGTGGCACAGTGGCTAAAGCGGTAGACTGCCAACGAAAAGATCAGCAGTTCAAACCCACCAGGTTTGACTAAGCTGTGGCAGTCTGCTTCCTAAAGATGACAGCATGGGAACCGTGTGAGGCAGCTCTACTCTGTCCTATTGTAGGGTTGCTACGAGCCAGACTTGAGTTCACAGCAGTGGAGCTTGGCAAAGACAATCCATGCACTTCATCTGAAGCCTCGTTTGAATAAAAAACAACTGTGCACAGAAATTCATGAGACGTATGACAGAATTGGAGAAATTTCAAAGCAAGTAGAATATTAGATTGTATCCTGGTGGGAGCTGTAGGATAAAGCCCTGGACCACAAGGTCAGTTTGAACCACAAGGTCGGTGGTTGAAACTCACCACTAGCTCTTTGGAAACCCTATACAGGGTCGCTATGAGTCAGAACCGATTTGATGGCACTTAATAAAAACAACAATAACAACCTTTTTAAATTTAATCAAATATTAATTTATTAAGTATGGAACAAGATTTGTTGTTTTGTTGACAATGAAGCTGATTAATAGGTACTATCTTCTTTCTCTTTTAAGTTAAAATTTTTCTGTAGCAAAATATTGATATGAAAATGTGTAAATAAAAAATTTTAACAACGACCTGTCCCCCTTAACTTACCCTTATAACTAGTCTGTTGTTGGATGCCACTGACCTAACTCCAACTCATAGCAACCCCCAGTGACAAAGGAGAAGTACCCCATAGGGACTCCATGTGACAGTAGAGCTGCTTCATAGGCTTTTCGTGGCACAGCTCCACATGGTTCTTCCAAGGAATGCTGGCTAAGTTCGAACTTAGAGCAGTCAAGGGCTTAAGCATTGAGCCACTAGGGTCCCATGTAACTAGTCTAGCCATCTGATTTTGCTAATCTTGTTAAGTGCCGTTAAGTCAGATCCAACTCATAGAGACAACTGCATAGGCTTTCCAACTAGCAGCTGCTAACCTTATAGTTAGCAGTCCAGTGCTTATCCTACAGTGTCACATCAGGTCTTAGAGCTCCTTAAAGATACAATACAACCATATACATTGGACTTCTCTCATCTTGCCCACCATTTGAGCAGGCTTCAGACTGGGCTTGTATTCAGTCTCCACTGATGTATAGGTAGTCTTTTATCTACCAGCCCACCAGACTTTTCAGTGTCAAGTGGAACTTATTTCAACTCTGAAGAATTGAGTGTTGGCATAGGTTTGCCAACCTGACCAGGAGACTCAAACCCAATTCAACCCACTGCTATTGGTTCTGATGCCTAGCCAGGTACAGGCTGTAAGTCTTGGGGAGCAGAAAGCCTCATCTTTCTCCCACAGAGCTGCTAGTGGATTTGAACTGCTAACTTTGCAATTCAGTGCTTATCCTACAGTGCCACAAACCAGATTAGTATGAAATCACCATAAATCATCAGGAGTATTTAAGTAATCAGGAAATAAGCCAAAAACCTTTGAACAGAAAAGCAAGTTGCCCTTCTATACATACCATTATGTGCAAGTCTTACACAAAAAATGGAATGTGGCTAGCAATTGCAGGCAGCTTTCCATGTCCCGAGCACTATAGGAGCGTGTTCTTCTCTGTCACTGGGCTGTGTGCTCTATCGGTGTCTCCTTTTTTTTTTAGGATGATGCCAGCAAGCAAACCATCTGCCTAAAGATGGAGACCTCTCATGGAGGGGACTGTGCAGCCTTCCTTCTACAAGGCAAGACTGTCCAAAGCCTGTTCAGATCGGCTGTCTCTTTCAGATGATTACTCTTTCTTAAGGAAACATTTAGCTTGAAGCCCATGCCATGGGAGAGCACCCTTTCCCCAGGTTGGCAGGTATTTGGTTTAGAAGCGTGTTTCCTTGACAGGATAAAGTTCCACACACAACTGCTTTGCCATTTGTCATACTATCAAATAAAGGTCAGGAGAATGCTCTTGGGACATCTTTCCCAATCCGAACCTTTTCTTAACCACTCACTCTTTCAGTTACTGGTTCTGTGCATGCCACCTGCCTCCCCAGACAGTCATAACTGGAAGGCCAAAATGTTGGTGAAATGTACCACTTGGAACACAGAAAACATGGGGGTTGGGCAGAGCAGAGCATTGGTTCAAAACTGTTGCATTAGTGTTGTGAGTGTGGGAACAGTGTTTTTGTGACTTGAGGGGAGGAGCTCTGCAGCTTGCCTTGGGGAAGTTATTTGGGGAGTGACAATCTGCAGTCATGATTGCAGAACACCTAGCCTGCTGTGTTTGCACAGGTTGCTGTTCACAGAGGGTCTGGTGCAGAGGTGGCTGCTGTCTGTGCTAGCAGTTCTGAGAAGATGGGCTGTCTCAGAGGAAACTTGCCTCCTGCTTACAGTTGCTCAATGGTTCCTTGGTTTCCCAATGCAGGAGCTGGAGATATTTGGCTGGATGTGTATAAATTGCCCAAGGAGTCTTGGCTCAAGGAAGTGGAGTACCCTCTCAACAACGTAAATTTCAAGAAAAAAGGCAAACAGCTGCAAATGGTAGGAAACAGCTCTGCTTTCAACACTGATATCTTTTTTCTAACCTTTGACCCTTCTCTAGCCTAAACTCTGCTTGGGATTTCAAGATGAAGGAGATCTTCTGGAGGCTCTACTAGAGGACAACAGGAAATCGAGCCCATGTCTCCCCCAAATTGATGTGCCGTGGTTTAAATAAGATATTAAAGAGTAAAGGTGTTCGTTAGTGGGAAGCTCAGTGTCACCCTGGTCTGGGAGTTGCCTCTCTAAAGTCCACTCTCAGCACCTCTCTGAGACAAGGGTTTTTGTGCTAATGCCTGCTTTATAGATCAACTTTTTTACCCCTTCCTGTGTTGAAGTAATGCTTTCATTCCTCATATTACACTAAATTTTCCAGACTATGGTATAAAGGGATTGCTCTTAATATCAGAGAGATATATATTGTTGTTAAGTGCCGTCAAACTAGTTCTGACTCATGGTGACCCTGTGTAGGGTTTCCGAGGGACGGCTGGTGAGCTTGAACCAC